AAACTGTCTGACTCAGTTTTAGGTAGCTTCTTATTTGCATAAGACATTTGGTTATATTGTAGTGCATGCAACAGACGTGTAGCTCATTTAACTAGTAGGACCAGCATACCCCCATTTGCTGAAATTTATTGCACCAAATAAAACGTATTTATATGACACATACTTTTATAACACGTGCTAAATGACACATATCTTTATAATATGCCCTGAGGCTTTGGTAAAGGTAAAGGTAATGGTTTCCCTTGACATTAAATCTGGTTGTGTCCGAATCTAGGGGATGATGCTCATCTCCATTTTCAAGCCGAAGAGCCAGAATTGTCTGTTGACATCTAGGTCATGCGGTCGGAATGACTACATGGAGAGTTTTGGTTAAACACTGTGCTTTATCTCCAAATGCTCTAGTCTTAGATCTTAATAAACCACACTGGACATGGACAACAGATAATAACAAAACTTTTAATATATTTTAGCTGCTAGATAGGTTTCAAGTTATTAGGAGACAAATCCATGGGTCACCTTTGTTGTCAAGTAATTTAGAGTGGATAGAGAGATCCAAGCCATTATGGGAAGCCAGTATTCCAGAATAAATCTCACCAAGTTGAAGAGAAAGCCACCGAGGTTTTATTTCATTCCAGCTGGAGAAGATGACTATTGCAGTAGCCTGCCAACAAATCGACATAACTCACTGGCCAGAGAAATACAATATATATAGCCTTCAGATTCAAAAGTTCCCATGCCCGCCCACCCACCCCCCAAGCTGGCTTTGTTATGATTGGCTGTGACATCAGCAAGCCAGAAGGAGATCCAATGAAGGCTCTGGCCCTGATTTCCAGCCAATAGGGTGGAAGGGAGGTGGGCAATAGGGAAACAATGAAGAAATGTCTAGTTGACTGGATTAAGAATGGCTGGTGTTTGCCAAATGGCTTGGAGATAGCTTTAGGCTCTCAAGCCTGGTCTAGGTTATTGTTTGATTCCTTGAATTAACATTCTTATCTAGCCCCGAGAGGCCTGGTCCTTTTGTCTTACTATACTACAATATAGAGTTCATTGATGAAGCAGAGTTGGGTTTCAGAGATCCAGGTGTGGCACAGCAGGGAGGTGGATGACAAATCTCCTCGCAGATGGAGAGATGTCCTTTGTGTTGGGTGATCCAAAGTATCCACAGACCCCATCATTCCAGGTGGCATGGCGAAATCCTTTGTTAGGGAATTATCAGCTCAGGAAGTTTGGAAACTCCAAGAGCCATGAGTTGCTGGTTCATGAAAAGGCTGCTTTCCTTCATATTTTCTGATATAGACATACATATAGGGAATGAGGAATGGGGCAAGGGAGCATACACAGAGTTCATAGAAAAAGGAGGAATCATGCAGGGTCTAAGGGGAAGTCACGTCAGCCCCCCCCCCCCCAGAAGTCCATAAAAGTTCATAAAGTTTGGCAAGAGTTTATAAAAGTTCCTATAAAGTTCATGAAGGTTCGTAAGTACTCATAAAAGTTCATTGGGGGGGGGGTGCATGGAAGTTCAGGGGAGCACTGAGTAGTCTGAGTCCATTCATAAAAACAAGAGGAGAGATAGGGGATTATGGGATCAATTCAGCCTGGTGTCCTTTGCAAAACTATCTTTTACAGAGCCCTGGAAGGGGGGGGGGGTTCACCTCCGATCACACCTTCAAGAAATATAAATAAAAGGCCTTTTAGGTATAATTGAAGACGGTTAATGGTAGTTACAGTAACTGAAACTGACACATACTTTGGCCGCATGTCAGACTTTTATGTTTAGCAATTTCTTTTAAGGAATTATTTTAGAGAAATTTTACATTCAATGTCCTAGCTCAGATGTTTACACACAGGAGCATTTTGACACTATTTCCCACTCAAAACACACAGCAGCGGGGAGCTTGGAAAACTACTTGCTGGCAACATTTGCAGGCTGGCAAGGGATTCCAGTCTCCACCTGATATTAATAGAGTGCAAATAACCTTCTATCTAAAATGCAGACTTAACATATGGAAAATAAGACATGTCCCACTTCTCACTCTGTGTTCTCATCATTTAAAATGTGAAATGTGTACAAGTTGCTTTGACAAAGTTTTCTCACTCAAATTTGTTTGAGTGTGCATTTGTGTATCACACCCTAAAACCCACAAAAACATTATGATAAACAATAATCTTCAGCATAGTAAAAAGTGAGAAACTTCAGGTTTGTAGGATGGATAGATTGCTTTCCTGTAGCTGTAATTGTTTGAAAGGTGATATGTGAACTCACACAAACGAGTCACCTGCACCTACAGCATGCATCATTCAGAACTTTCCAGACTTCTAAGATAAGTGTTTTGATGGTAACATTTTTTGTTTCCTGCATGCCATACCCACATGCTTCTTGCTTAAACCTTCAGTTCCCTGGATACTGATGCCAAAGGAATGAAAGGGTCGTTCCAATAGCAAAATCTGCTTTCACATAAATGCAGGCAGGACAATGTTTTGATTGACACTACCTACGCAAAAAAGGAACGGTATGTCCCAGTGAAATGTAGGTAAGGCCAGTCAACCCCAACAGTACAATCAAAACTACACTGAGCAATGCAATCATGTTGAGCAAGGCAAAAGTGAGTAGCCCATGTCTGTCATTGGGAGAGTGACTGCCAACAGAATGAAGACTATTGATGTGACAGAAATGTCAGTCAAGATGGAAATGAACAATTTGTTGCAGTGTTGAAAAGGAGACTGACAACAGGATGGAGAACTTCTTGTCAAGACAGAGATGGCTGATGAGTTGATGATTGTCAAGATGGAGAGTTATAATGGGATGGAAACTGTCACTTTAGACTTAGGGCCATCCTATATCTGAAACAACTTGAAGGCACACAACAACAATCCTAATTAACTTGAGTCTCCCAAAACTCAAAAGCAGGCCGACTCATAGAGGTGTACAACATTTAAAGGACAGGGTGCAAATTACAAGATACAATCTAAAATCAATCTAGCAATAACCAAAAAAACATCGTCATCAAAACATCAACAATTGGTTTATGTGTCCAAAAGGGAGCGGGGTGGGTGGCAGGCCTAGAACCAACCCCAGAGAACACCAACAGCCCTCTGTATACTGCCCCTCTATATTATTGAAGGCAGCTGACAACACTATGTAACAAAATTTGAAAAGTTTTCTGCTCCTGGTTTGAAAGTATCATTCAGTTCGTGTGGTACTTACTTTGAAAGTAGTGGTTATACTCCAGAAACTTAGTTTTAATGGCTGCCACAAACTATACTGAATTGGTTGAGACTCTATGAGATAATAATTGAAAAACTATAGCAAAATGTGCTGCCGGATGTTCCTCCGGCAAAAACAATTTTTCTTTGCAGTTGAACAAACTTTTCCCATGTTTTTATAATAGACCCAATTAGGAAATGACATTTATAACCCAGGAACGAAAATCATGTTACCTAGTGTGATCAGCAGGGAAGCTCAAGCAGGCAGAATGAGATGCCTGCAATAATTACATGACTCAACAGGTGAGTGACTTACTCAATCAACATACTAAGTAACACTTCACCTGCTGTTCAAGTATGAAAAAGCAGGCCTCAGGTGACTGAAACAGGTGCAAAACCCACCCCACTGGTGTCTCTCCATAGAAGTACCTGGGGTGCTTTTTTGTGCTGCCAGGTCTGTGAAGACTTTGCTTCTCCACGGAGGCCGGCTGTTAGGAATTGTGGGAGTTGAAGTCCAAAACACCTGGAGTAATCTCCTTTATTTTCTTTTTAATGGACCCAAGAAGGGGCTCATTACTACAGTTTAACCTATAGGCCAGCAAAGCCTTTCCAAATATTAGAACCAGGCCATTTTCATGAGATGTTGTGTACCAACACATTTCTGAAAAGTGGAATGTTCTAGGAAGTTTAGAAGCAGGGAAACAACATAAAGATATACAGACCACGTCAGAAATAGCAGAAAGATTTTGCAATTTAAAATGTTCCTGGTATAATTATTACAATTTGAATCACTGATGTACCAAAAAGCACGAGCATGCACTATAAATGCATACAAAAAACATGTACGGTAACAATTTTGGATTTTAGGTCTGATTTCTCTCTCTCTAGTTTTGATCACAGGAAGCAGTAGAGCACTCTCAGCTCTCTGAAACAGCGGGTGAATCAAGAACTTCTTACTGAGGCTCCATCTACACTGCCATATCAAATCCAGATTATCTGCTTTGAATTGAATTATATGGCAGTGTAGACCCATATAATCCAATTCAAAATAGATAAAGTGGATTATCTGCTTTGATAATCTGGATTATACAGCAGTGTAGAAGGGGCACGATGCAATCTCAGATACTTATTTGCCATATTTATATTCCACCCTTCTTATCCCGAAGGACGCACATAAAAGCACAATTCGATGCCATTCAATACATACAATACATATCTCCTGTTTGAGCATTAGGTCTAAGATGTTTGAGCATTAGGACTAATACAGAGCTTTCCAAATTGTTCATGTTGTGACACGTTTTAGACATGCATCTTTTTGCAATACGTTCATTCAATGTTACTAGTAAACTGAATTTATAATATTTAATATAAAATATACATTATATGTAGGTTTCATATCTTTAATGTATAAATGAGGTTTGGAAATTCTTACATCCTAGTTGGTTGGTTCTTGGGTCGTTTCCTCTGCAGCTGCTCCATGTGGTTCAACACAAATATCATGGCCAACAGATTTTCTTTCCTCAATTAGAAACTTATCAAGTGATAATTACTGCAACTCAATCAACAAATTCTGTAAATTATAAAATTTATAACAGTACCTACACTTAAGAAAACTCCACTTCTGTAGTAATTACACCTCTCTGGAGGTTTTTAAACAGAGGCTGGATGGCCACCCAGTTTGGAAAGCTCTGGTCTAACACAACAGAATTTCAGCATGGTGTGAAACATTGGCATCCTTCACAAAATATTTTACTCTTTTGTTGCAAATGAAAGAGAAAAAAGGAAATGCAGCCTCATATACTTAAACTGTTTTATTCATAATTACAGGCTATTTTTTTAGAATTTTAAAACAAAGGTCTATAAATACAGGCTAATTCCACCTGAACAAACTCTTAAAAGCCATTTAAAAGTTTAACAGTAATGCCATGGAAGCTGTCACAGCAGTGGTTTATTTGGAAGCCTTCGAGTAAAGGTTCTGTAATCAGTCAGTAACATGAAATGTAACATCAAGTGACTCAGAACTTCCAATCCTATACAGGAAAGCTTGAATATATATATTATATATACACTGATATTGTATTGGTCCACTGAGTATACCTTTAACAGAAAAAAAATAAGAAATCTATGTAGTCCAGTTAAACATACAATATGCACTATTAATGTTATTACAAAGTTTCTGTAGATAAATTATGATAGTAATATTTGCAAGATGTTTTCTAAGTTACTTTTTTATTAGGTGTTTTCAAATGCTTATTTCCCAGTGCAAAAGGAAAAAGGCCTCTTGGAAGAAGTCTCAAAAAATTTGCAGAAAAATTCAGAGAAGAATTAACTTTTTTCAAAAGACTCTTCCAGCAGCATCCACAGGTAAAACTGGAAAGAATTCAGCCTGACACTGATGATTATGAATAATAACAATATAAATCATTTAAAAAGCATTTCAGGCTCAAATACCACAGGTTTTGTAAAAAGCCTACCAGTTTTGTAAAACTATAGCCTAACTGTGAGGGTACTGAAGATGGAAAAGGAACCACTTGGAATAAACTCTGCAGGACAGACGATTTTGTGCAGAATAGACCAGGACTGGGAATTGTGCCGTGCCCCAGGTGCTGCTCGACTGCACCTCCCAGCATTCCTCACCATTGGCATTACTGGGTAGGGTTGCTGGGATCTGCACTCCAGCATCTAGCAGACTACACATTCCCATTCCTGGAATAGGAAACAAGGAACTTTAATTAATATCCAATCTGACTTTGACTCAGTGACAATAAAAGGGTATCTCAGTTTAAGGTGCAACTCTCAGTTGGCATTCAATAAATTATACATAACAACAACCGACTGTTGTAAACTATGCCTTTATGCAGTATATATTTGCTACTCTAGATCCAACTCAGCTGTCAACATGCCCGTTCAGTTGCATTTTCCACAGAAAGAAACTGGCTCAATTAGCAGTGGGGCATTCGAAACTCTGTCAGTAAGTAAGCTTGGTCAAACACTTAATCTTACTGAACCTCCAGGAAAAATCCTGAGTCTTGTATTTTTAAAATCCAATGGATAGGCAAATGGGCAGTTGAATGTTTCAGACGATGCTTATTGCATATGGAACCCAAGACACTCTTATTTGTTACTTAGGCAAGCAGCAGAACCATCATTAAAGGAAAACAACAGGCACAAAAAGCACACCATATGCCCAATAACAATTGCCATCATTTCCGTAGAACATTACGACAGGATTCAACATCTATGAAGATTGGATTATTACAGCAGTGCTTGGCTACCTGAATATTTCCAAGCCAGGAAGGGGTGTGTATGGATGTAAAACTATGGTTTGGTTAGCTACATGGCCAGCTTTGCTTTTGGGTGAACATGTTTGCAGTCTAAAACCATCTGGGAGAACAAAAATAGTTCAGTATTATATAAACTGGAAAAAAACAACCCTTCAGAAAAACAACAACAGGGAATCAAGCCTCGTAATGATTTTTAAAAGAAAGCTAAGTAACACCTGATCTAGCCACCTGCATAAACCATGGTTACACAGTTCATGTGTTACATGTATCACACACCCCTGTACTTTTTCCAATATTATATATGAATGCCGAGGGATTAGGGCATGAGATATAATTGCCATTGGAGACCTTACAAGAACAGATTGCTGTGGCATATTACTCTCAGCTTTAAGTAGAAAGATATCTTTCTGTTTTAAAAGAAACTATTTGGGTGCGATGTTTATATCAAAGAACGTTTCCAAAATAAAGAGAAATGGGAGTGTGTTACATTAAAGAGTAATCAGACAAGTGAAGATGAGAAACAAATTGCAAAGAAATTGCCCAAAAATCACATTTGCAGGAATTTAAAGCCTTTTTGTATTTCCCTGTGTATATCTATCTTTTGATTAGCTTTACATATAGCTTAGTGATCCAGGGAAAGGGATTAATGGTTGAGGAAATTTTCATGCTTCCGAAATCTCAGATTTACTGAGTGCAATTGCTAGTTCTAAGTCTTCTTGTTCTTGTTGTTTTAATCTGGCAAGTCGCTCTTTCTCCTCTCTCTCGCTTTCTCTTTTTGCCCATTCAATCATATCTTCTTCAGTAGGGTACTAAAAAAGGAAGTCAGAGATTTGCTAATATGAACAACAGATTAGAGTTCAGTGGTTTAACCGAGATTGTTTGAGCTGGTTCAAATTACTGCTAGCATTACTTAGGATGGAAGTGGGTTTTCACAATTGACATCTGTAAATTTATCTGGGTCATTATTTCACTTTTTTTTCAAATCAAGAGAAGAAAAATAATTGGGTTGCTATGAGTTTTCCGGGCTGCAGGCCATGTTCCAGAAGCATTCTCTCCTGATATTTCGCCCACATCTATGGCAGACATCCTCAGAGGTTGTGGGGTCTGTTGGAAAATAGGCAAGTGAAGGTTATATATCTGTGGAATGTCCAGGGTGGGAGAAAGAACTCTTGTCTGTTTGAGGCAAGTGTTAATGTAGTAATTGGCCACCTTGATTAATGGCCTTGCCGCTTCAAAGCCTGGCTGCTTGCTGCCTGGGGGATCCTTTGTTGGGAGGTGTTAGTTGGTCCTGATTGATTATTTTCTGGAATTCCCCTAAAAAAACAGGGGAATACTTTGTTTGCTTTCCTAATTTTAGAGTTTTTTTAAATAATGGTAGTGAGATTTTGTTCATTTTCATAGTTTTCTCCTTTCTGTTGAAATTATCTACACGCTTGTGGACGAAACGTCAGGAGAGAATGCTTCTGGAACGTGGCCATGCAACCCAGAAAACTCACAGTAACCCTGTGATTCCGGCCATGAAAACCTTCAACAACACAGAAAAGTAATTGTTTTCTTTCCCCTGGCCTTCTAAGGCAGATTCAAAATGCACATCTAGCTTACCTTGTTTGTTTTTTGTTGTTGTTTTAAATACATGTCCATCAAAAGAGACTGGCTACTGGGCATTTGGCATAGCCATAATTCATGTTAATCAGCAAGAAGATTGTTAAGAAAATAATAAAAACTCATATCCTATTGTTAAAAGACATTTTATTCAATATCACCAAGGATCAGGATGACAAATTTTGGATCAGGATGACAAATTTTGTTTAAAGAAATTCTTACAAAATTAACAGCAGCAGCAGAGCAGAAAAATAGATTATTACTATTTTGGCCCCTCAGGAGTGGTGAGGAACCATATCCAGATATGTTCAGACTATATCTTCCATAATCCCTCTATATGTGGCATGTTTGCTGAAATCCAAAACACCTCTTTTAAAGAAAGTATTTTAAATAAATGACACTGAACATAATAAGAAGCATCTTGAACTACCCACCATCATAACCTACAGCAGGATTTAAACATACTTCAGTTCTGGATGGGTAAATATATCTAAAACAGGAAAGATTGCATAACTACACTCTACCGTCTCAGATCTCAGTAGACGGATGGTGTCTTTTTATGATAAGGCTGATGATGGTGCACAAAGTGCATCCGTTCTGTAAAATATCACATATATAAGGCAACGGTGACCCACCTCAATGCGATGACTATAATATGCCCTATATATGGGGATGCCTTTGCCAACTGTTTGGAAACAACAGATGATTCAGAATGCTGCAACAGATTGCTGAACACAGCTGGTTGCTGGCTACAAGTTTGTTCAGAGGCAGAATTCAAAGTGCGAGTTATACCCCGCACTGCATGAAACCTCATTATCTCAAGGACCAAATGAGCCTCCTTGTGTATTAAGATTTTCAGGAGTAGTTCCTTTCTGAATCAAGCCTATGCTGGGATGCATGACTCAGTGGCTGTGCCAATGTTCTGGAGTTGCTTTCCTTGCAAAACCTCTTTTATCCTGTTGCTTGATGGCTCTCCACTGCCTGGCAAAGACTTTTGTTTAGACAGGACTTTAGACTGTTAAGTTGATTGTTTTCATCTGCTACTGGATGATAGCAGCTGGTTAGCATCTACTTCTTAGCTGCTTACTTTATATGCCTGATAGTTATATCCTCTTTCATTATTTTGTAACTGCCCTATTTGACTGTTAAACACTGGGCTGCCTAAGAACGGCAGGCAACCGGGACAAAAATGAAGAGTGGCATGAACACATCAAAGTATATATGCTCACATTGCTGGGCACATTCTCACAGCCTGACACAAACCATTGCTTTTTTTAAGTATAAAAAGCAATGGTTTGGCTCCATGGATATTGGTTCTATTCCATATTTCTTGGGAGAAATACATCTCCTGTCTTACTTAGGTGTCTGTGGTAACATTAACAAGAAGCTTGAGGTGTTTTGTTGAGGGGACGACTCTGTGCCTGCTCTTAAAAGCTCTCTTGGCCATTACGTTTTTAATCTCTTGCCTTCCTTTACTAATAACTTGCAGCCAGCCTGTTCAATCCTATGAGTCAATCTGCAAAGTAAAGCAAAGCAAAGCTTGACTTGTCTTGCAACCAATGCTCTCCACTCCCTCTATTGTTCATGTCCATAAGAATTCCCAGATGGTAGAAAATATACTCACTGGGAACAGCCATTAGCCATGCTAATTGGGGGATTCTTGGAGCTTTAAACCAAGAAGACATTTTCCAGTTTTTGGGAATATTCAGCCTGCAAAGCCATGCTTGAGGCTGGTATCCTTCTCCTGATTTATCTTCCTGCAGAAGCACCAACCGAGCTTTGCTCAGTGGCTGATTGCCAAGAAGGAGCTTGGGGACAAGATTTCCTTGTCACAGTATCAATTTATATTTATGAGTTCTGTTAGGGATTAAAGATCTATGCTGTTTATTTTCTAACTGCTTAACTCTAGCATTAACATACGCATTGGGAATAAACTATGTACTGCAGCTTGATTTAGACGCATTAAAACCCTGAGGCCTAATATGCAATTACAGCTTCATACAAAAGACCAAGAATCTTTCAGACAGCCATTATTCATGTAAAGCTAAATAAAACATTAATATGACTAACTGCCTGAATTTGACCCTCACATATGTGATCATATATTCTTTAAGAGAGGCATAACCTGTATTAGGATTTGATATATCATTACTTTGCTGTATGGAACCCATTTGGCTTTCTTTGAGCCTGAGAAGTTTATAGAGATGTTTACTGTTCTTTACCACATAGTCATAAATGTTAACTGGATGCCTCCCCATCCTGTTTACTTACAGCACTGAAATTAGCAAAATTGCTGGTGTCCATTTCTTTGCACACACCAGTGGGAGCAAATGGGTCGGCTTCCTGTTCTTTGGGAACATCACAGCCTGGGAAGGGCTGGAAAGGATCATTCAGTTTAAAGGAATCGGAAGACTCCAATTTGTTGATAGGTCTTTTTCCTATATCAAAATAATCACTTTAGCATGATTATAAATGTGGTAGAAAATATTTAGCCAGTGTGCAACAGTACTTAAAACATACCATCTTATTATCTGGCAAAACAATCAATCAATCCAATAAATAAACCTTAACTAATGTCACAGGTCAATCAGTGTGATTTCCTAGACATACGTTTTTCTTCAGGTTTTGAATTATTTTTTTAAAAAATTCTGGCAATATTCACATGCAACTTTAAAATAACTTATTCCTCCACATTTTGTGGGTCCAAACATGCATTTGTTAGGAAGAGTTACATTAAATTTTACTAGAAATAATTCCTATAACAATTCGTTTGCAATTAGAATAAAATCACTAATTATTTCAATAAAAAATACTCATCTTACAGCTATAATTATATCTTATTCTTCCATGAGAAGAGGCGGGCAAGAAATAAAACTATTATTATATTATTATTATTATTATTATTATTATTATTATTATTATTCAGTTCCTTACCAGGTGGAGGAGGGCAAGGTCTGGTGGGTGTTCCAACTTTGGGAGGCAAGGCAGGGGGAACATCTTCAGTTTTGACTGGAGGCTCCTCAAACACATTTTTGGTTATGACAACACTGTTGACAGAGATGGCTGACGAGGAACTAAAGGGATCATCGTTGTTTGCCTTAAAAAAATTAAAAAGATGACAAATATGTGATTTTGTGTATTACCATCATTGTTCACTTTTGATTGAAAACTACTGTTTCCTCTACAAAAGTCTCTACTAGTTCTTTTTCAAATCAAAGACTTTTTTATCATGTCAGAAGCAACTCGAGAAACTGCAAATACCTTCTGATGTGAGAGAATTGGCCGTCTGCTGTTGACCAGGGATGCCTGGATGTGTTATCATCCTGTGAGAGGCTTCTCTCATGTCCCCATGTGGGAAGCTGGAGCTGACAGACGGGAACTCACCCCACCTCGCGGATTCAAACTGCTGACCTGCCAGTGAGCAGTTCAGCCAGCATAAGTGTTTAACTTATTGCACCACCGCAGCTCTTGGATTGGATTAAAACTGCTTCCTCTAAAGGGCTCCATTTCAGAGTTAATAATTTTTTTTTGTCACATTATAGTTGCATCTCCCTTTTGTTAAAAGTGTGACTATTGTGCAATGAAATACAGTATTAACAGGTGCTGTAATTAATAATAATAATAATAATAATAATAATAATAATAATAATACACTTTATTTACATTCTGCTCTATATCCCTGAGGGGACTCAGAGTGGATTACAGTATACACATATATAAGCAAACATTCAATGCCTTTTGTACAGTGAACAATGACATACAATATACAAACAAAGGCAAAGGTTTCCCTTCCCATCTCCGGCGTCTGGAAGCAATGCTCAATTCTGGCCATGGGGAGGTGCTCTTGATCCATTTTCCATGCCAAGGAGCCTGTTGTCCCTCCTGGTCATGTTTTGCCAGCATGGGTGCAGGGCGGCTTTTACCTTGTTGCCAAGGCGGTACCTATTTATCTACTCACATTAGATGTTTTTGAACTGCTAGGTAGGCGGACAGCAGGAGCTCACCCCAACCCACAGTTTGTAGAGTAATGGTCTGGATCCTGAACTTTATCAAATCTAAGATGTCTGAAGAACTGCCTAAGAGACATCTGCACATCTGTCTTGGAACATCTACTCCAGAACCAATGTGATACTCAATTAAGTAGGATGCAGAAAAAAAATTCTTTGGAAAGCAGTGTAAACACATCCCTGCTATAAGTGCAAGTCTACCCGCCCTCCATGTACCATGATGGGGAGGAGATATGTAAACCATTGGCTATATTTGGCTCATTTCTGGCCTTTAGTCATGGTAGTTTAGTTTTATATTAACTGTACTGCTTTCACAGCAATTCACAAAACTAGCAATCCCTCATCTAATGAGACTTACATTAACTCAAATAGAGGAATTAATCAGGGATGTAAACTTGTTGATTTATAGTCAAAATTACCAAAAATTCTGATCTGTGCTCTAATAAATTTAGTGTCTGCAATGCTGCAATTTTATGCTTTTCCCACAGTCATTAAATCATTTCAAATTACCTTTGACAATGTGCTGAAGTCAGCAAATCCACTTCCGAAAGATTCATTTCCAAACAGAGAGGCAAAGGGATCTGTGGCTAAAAGAAGAGAGCAGACAGAAGAGGAGAGAATGTTGAATTCTCATTCTAGCAAAACCATTGTAAGATACATGTCAATTATTTGCTCTACCTTTTGAATCCTACATGGATAGGCCTAATGCTCATTCATCTTAAAGGTACTTAATAGCATGAAATTAAATTGAAATATATTTCAGGTTCCTTCTGCAATTCAATCCAAATGACTGCAGAAGTCCAGAGATTAATAAACTAAAATCAAAGAACTGATGAGAAGACCCAATTTAGCAGATTAATTGTGAAGGTATGATATCCAAAACAAAGCTCTTATTGAGTAAAGCTACCTAATTCCTTTTGTAGCTATATCTCGGTCTGTTCTACCTAACTTAAAACAAGGGAAAACTTTATTTTAACCTATTGTTGAAACCTCTTACTAACCTAATAGGTATTTTAAAATATTAAAGCTGAGTGTTTCTGTAAGTAAAGGTAAAGGTTTCCCCTGACATTAAGTCTAGTCATGTCTGACTCTGGGGTGATGCTCATCTCATTTCTAAGCCGAAGAGTTGGTGTTGTCCATAGACACCTCCAAGGTCATGTGGCCAGCATGACTACATGGAGCACTGTTACCTTTCTGCAGAAGCGGTACCTATTGATCTATTCACATTTGCATGTTTTTGAACTGTTAGTTTGGCAGTAGCTGGGGCTGACAGCAGAAGCTCAACCCGCTCTCCAGATTCAAACCGCCAACTTCCATCTTCCCTTCCTTTTGGCTATGTTAAGCTAGGGCTGGTGGTAGTTATACAGTACTTTACTGGCTGGAGATCTTACATGGTCCTTCTCACTTTCTACATGAAAGACAAGTCTTTCTTCCTCAGAGCAGCATGCAAAGTTATTAAATAGCAGTAAATGGGAAGTATTCCCACAGGATTCTCATAGGAACTTGAAAAGTACATGGAAGGGATTTAGCCACAATTTTAAATGACATTTCAACAAAAGTAACACACACATATATATGGCTAATAACTGAAGCCATTACACCTGCTGTTGATAGTTCCTAAAAATTTATTGCTCTCATTTGATGAAGCAAATGTAAAATCCTGCAGGGCAACAAGGAATTATCTCAGTATCATTGCTTTCTTTTTTTCGTGTTATGAGCGACTTGAGAAATTGGTGTGAGAGAATTGGCTGTCTGCAAGGATGTTGTCCAGGGGATGCCCGGATGTTTGATGTTTTACCATCCTTGTGGGAGGCTTCTCTCATGTTCCCGCATGGGGAGCTGGAGCTGATAGAGGAAGCTCAATCCAATCTCCCTGGATTCGAACTGCTGACCTGTCAGTCAGCAGTCCTGCTGTCAACAAGGGTTTAACCCACTGCATCACTGGGGGCTCCATAGTATAATTGCTGAGTGGTCTAGATTCAGTTTTAACCTATTCAATCTCATTTACTTGATCAAAATATGTAAATACTAGTTAAAGACAAAAATACCTATTCTGAATATTTAATTAATAAGAAACTGCTTAGCATCAGCATGTCAACAGCACCCAATTCAATGGCGTCAAATGGCTATTAAAAAAACTGGGAGACTCAATCCTTTCCCACCACCCAGTTCTGAGAAAGTTAAATGCCAATACTCTGACCTAATTCTGAAACAGGTCAGAAGAATGACAAAAGCTGTTGAGACTCCAATATCTTCACACAAAGGTCATCAAGTGAGTTACGAAAACTATTTCTATCTTCAAACTAGGTATCAAGCCACACTCAAAAGAACTGAGAAATATGATTTTATATATGTTGTGCTACTCTATTCAACTTAGATTCAATTAATTACTTTAATTCTCTGCATGTTCCTCAAGAGACAGAATAATGGCCTTAATTATGTCTTATCCATTGAGATATTTCTGCATGTGGAAGTGAAGAAATATTTCACAGTCATTATTTAACTACCTCACTATGCAATGAAGAAATGGCAGCAATCAGTCCCTTTCAGTTTTCATAAGCGTTTTTCATAAGCAGTGATTTAACACTGCTGATTTTTCGATTATATTTAAGCCAATTGAGAGTAATTGAAAGATCGTAGATTTTAATCCTGCCTTTAAATATGTTTACTTATTATGCATAGGTATATTAATTCTATTCACAATTAACCCAGTTAACATATTTAACTATCTTAAAACTGTAATCAGACCATGAAGCTAATGCTAAATCCCAGCTTAGGTCACAAATAACAATATATTTGAAAAGTTATTTTTAAAGACTTTTTAAAAAAAGACTACAGTTCCTAGACTCCCATGATGACTGGAGGATCAAGGGAGTTGTTCTCCAAGAAAGTAAGATGTCCTAACTTTTGAATTAACCATAATAATCCTATCTACAGAAAGAATGATTAACGTGATTAAAAATGGTCAAGATTATATTTGTAACAGCTCTGATCGCCTCCATACTGTATTTATAAAGCAATGACATTTCCTACATTATGTACCAAAAGCATTATGCATTGCTTGTTGGGAAAAATAGGATATTAAGGACAAATGAACATTTATGTGTGTTACAAATTTGATGAAATATATTTAGATCTTAATGATCCATGCAACACTAAGATTTGCATGTAATTAATTAAATTCGTATGTGTATTGTTTGGGGATTCTTGCAATTCCTTACCTGGGTCACTTGATATAGTAACAGCAGTTCCTCCGGGGGCAAAAGGATCATTATGCTTCACTGGTTCAATCTGTAAAAAAGTTTAAAAGTTCAAGTTTTTTGCTGCAGCCTATCAAAACCTTAGCATAATTTCAACATAGAATAGAATCATAGAGTTGGAAGAGACCTCATGGGTCATCCAGTCCAACCCCCTGCCAAGAAACAGGAAAATTGCATTCAAAGCACCCCCGACAGATGGCCATCCAGCCTCTGTTTAAAAGCCTCCAAATAAGGAGCCTCCACCACACTCCGGGGCAGAGAGTCACACTGTTTAACAGCTCTCACAGTCAGGAAGTTCTTCCTCATGTTCAGGTGGAATCTCCTTTCCTGTAGTTTGAAGTCATTGTTCCGCATTCTAGTCTCCAGGGCAGCAGAAAGCAAGCTTGCTCCCTCCTCCCTATGACTTCCCCTCACATCTTTATACGTGGCCATCATATCTCCCCTCAGCCTTCTCTTCTGCAGGATAAACATGCTCAGCTCTTTAAGTCACTCCTCATAGGGATTGTTCTCCAGACCCTTGATCTTTTGAGTCACCCTCCTCTGGACACCTTCCAGCTTGTTAACATCTCCCTTCAACTGCAGTGCCCAGAACTGGACACAGTATTCCAGGTGTGATCTGACCAAGGAAGAATAGAGGGGTAGCATGACTTCCCTGGATCTGGACACTATACTATTTATGCAGACCAAAATCCCTTTGCCTTTTTTAGCTGCTGCATCACACGGCTCGTGGTTAACTTGTTGTCCACGAGGGCACCAAGATTTTTTTTACATGTAATGCTGTCGAGCCAGGTGTCCTCCATTCTGTTTGTTTTGCTGTCTGTGCCCCTGTTCAGAAGAAAACAAGCCTGCTCTCTCCTCCCTATGACTTCCCCTCACATATTTATACATAGTTATACATTGTCATCATATCTCCTCTCAGCCTTCGCTTCTGCAGATTAAACATGCTCAATTCTTTAAGCTGTTCCTCATATGGCTTGTTCTCCAGAGCCTTGATCATTTTAGTCATCCTTTTCTGGTCAAATTCCAGCTTGTCAACATTTCCCTTAAACTGTTGTGCCCAGAATTGGACACGGTATTGCAGGTGTCCTAATCAGTGTTTCTGAATCAGTATTTTCAGGCGACTCTCTCAATTTCTTCAAGAGTCCTATCCAAAGCATTCTTAATAATCAACATTTGCCATATAAAAAATATTTGATTTTACTTGAAATCATTACACCAATTTGTGTTTAAAAGATTTTGAAAGACCAGTAGCCATTAAAAGTACAGTATCTAGCTGTTCAGACTATTATTCATTTCAGCAATTTAAATAACAGTAGCCATGTCGACTATAAAACAAAACAACATCCAAGGTTCATCTTGATAATACTTTTATTGGGTTAACTAAAAGGTAGAAAGTATATAGCAGGTGTCCTCAAACTTTTTAAACAGAGGGCCAGGTCACAGTCCCTCAAACTGTCAGAGGGCTGGATTATAATTTGAAAAAAAAAAATGAAGGAATTTCTATGCACCCTGCACATATCATTTTTGTAGTGCAAAAGCCACTTAAAAACAATACAATAATTAAAATGAAGAACAATTTTAGAAAATATAAATTTATTAGTATTTCAATGGGAAATGTGGGCCTGCTTTTGGCTGATGAGATAGAATTGTTGTTGTTGTTGTTGTGTGCTTTTGAGTCGTTACAGACTTAGGTTGACCCTGAGTGAGGGCCGGGAAAATGACCTTGGAGGGCTGCATCCGGCCCCCGGGCCATAGTTTGGGGACCCCTGGTATATAGCTTTTGAAGGCCCATAGGCTTTTTCATCAGCAAACATAGTAAAATAGCATATAGGAAAAAGTTCAAAAAGCCTGAACTCCTTGCATGCATAATACATGTGCTGTAACCAAAATACTTTCTCAGGAAAAATGCTTTCAAATCAGTATTTTCAAGTCTGTTACATTGAAACAAAAAGATCAGAGGATGGCAAAACTTCAGATACTTGCACATCAGCAGATCTACCAGAGGCTCTCAAAAATAATTGTTGGAATGTTGGAATTGTAAAAGTACTTTATACATGATTCAATTTACTAAGGGAAATCCACCTTTCAAAAATGTACCATGATACTATTCTTTAATATACTCACTTCAAATTGTCATATAATCAATCATTGTATACTAAGAGAGCCAGGCTGTCTGAGGCTTAGCAACCCAACTGACCTCAAAGTTTAATAAAAGGATGACAATGCAGCTGTAGAGAGCAATCGCTAAATAGGATTGCCTTTAAAATACAAAGGTTCAGAAAAATCCAGGAAATAAGACATTATGGCATAATTATGATTGCATTTCCTATTAAAGCCCACGGTGTATCTAAAGTCAGATTTGCAACACAGTAATTTCTCCAAGACTTACTGTTGAATTATTGCTGCTGGTGGTTGTATTGAAGGGGTCAACGCTTCCAAAGGGATCTGCGGGCGATTGCTTGAAAAAGCAGTCAGCAGCAAAAGGATCTGAGCCTTTGAAAGGATCACTGCCAAAAGGATCTTTAAGAAAAAACAACCAAACCAAGATTGGATTATTGAATATGTATTTAGTATTTGAAATATTTCTCAAGGAAACAATAAAATATGCACAGCTCAAATGATTTTTTACATTTAGTTTGCAATTATGACAACCTACACCAGCATAGCTTTTGCAATATATAGTCTAGTCAAGGTAAACGGGCTGTGCCTTCCTTGAGTGTGCATTCACATGAAAATACCTAAAAAGTATTAGGTACTTTATTTATTTATTTGTTTGTTTGTTTATTATTTTATTTAGGTAGAGAAGCCATTGAAATCCTCAAGCATGTGGACAATTTCAACAGAAAGGAAGAAACCATGAAAATGAACAAAATCTGGCTACCAGTATTAAAAAACTCAAAAAATTACAACAGCAAAACAACAGAGAGTAAACAATCAGGCACATCAAATCACCTCTCAACAAAAGATTCCCCCAGGCACTTCCAAGCCATTAAATGCTAATCAAGGTGGTCAGTTGAAACATTCACACCTAGCTCCAGCAGACAAGAGTCTTTGTCCCACCCTGGTCATTCCACAGATATATAAACCCTTTTTCCTAGTTCCAACAGACCTCAGTACCTCTGAGGATGCTTGCCATAGATGCAGGCAAAATGTCAGGAGAAATGCCTCTAGACCATGGCCATATAGCCCGAAAAAACCTACAACAACCCAGTGATTCCGGCCATGAATGCCTTCGACAATACACCTAAAAGGTAATCTGGCTGTTCAATGTGCAGGAATGAACTCTGGCCTACTGCTGCCACTATCCTTTCCCTCTTAAATGCTCACAAGCTATCTAATTTGTTCAAGGGTGAATATGAAAGGGTAGAAGACAAAATGTTTCTAAAAATGAATAGGGAAGTGGGGAGAGAAGAAAAATCATTGTCAAGCTGCTCTTTCTGAGGAAGTGAGGATGAAGAAGATAATCATAGCTACACCACAAACCCACAGAAAGGAAATAGGTGTCCCGTGCAAAAGGAACAACAGCAAGGTTTCATAATAATAGTTCAATATACCGGAGGAGCAGGAGGAGAACCCACTGCATTCAGATTTTTAAATTTTCTGAAAAGAATGAAATGTGATTCCTGGGCTATTTTCTTAAATTCTTTTCACACTAGTTTTCAGATACAGGCAATGTTGTTGGTGCTGACACACACATTTTTTTTGCTTCCAGGAACTTTGTGTGTCCATGTAAGAAAATTGGTCATTTCCTTATCTAAACAAAAGTTTGACATTTTCCATTTCACTCATCAAGCATCCTTTTGTTGTCAAATGTAACGAGGGTTTCATACAGGTAACTTTATTTGTTACTCATTAGCATCTAATCATATGAACCATTTCTAACCTCAGTGTTATTAACAATCTCCATTAAATTTCTCAAATACCCTGATTCTGAGTTATTGAAAAAAGAACCAAAAACAGTATTAGAACTCACCAATCTTTCCAAATGGATCATCTTTGAAAGGATCACCTATTTGAAACAGTGAAACACAACATATAAACATATTTTCCCATCCCTTTGTACAGAATCTTGAGAGCAAGTGGGAGTTGAGATCTTCAGTGCTATTAAACTACTGGGGCACGTCAGATGCACGGTCCTGCAATGGAACTATTAATTGTTTTTAATCTCTCACCAAGTAGAGCAGAAAATTTCCTCAAATCCTTCACTGAGAAATGCTGCAGAGGTTGTACTATGGACTTCCACAACAGAGAACTAGGAGAGGATTGCACTGACATTTTCACGTGTTTTTACTAATGGTGTACTAGCAGATACACCACCAGCAGATTACTTTGGCATTGTTTCTGATACCAAAATCGTTGCCTTCCTGTGCCATATGTTTGGATGTCAAAACACATGTTCCTTGCTCCCTTAAACAGTAAAAAAGAGAGGGGAGGAGTATACATCTTTACAAATTACTTTGACAGTGGGGGGGGGGGGGCGGGGAGGAATAAAAGTCTGGGAGAAAAAGTTGCTCTCACAAGAGTGCCAAAGCAACTGTATAAATAGAAATGTTTGTCCTTTCTTTTACATAAAGAAAAAAACCCAAGTAAATTTCTTATGCAGGGCTATCTGTTATCCAAGATTCTATGGCTGACCTACATAGTTCTGTATGATTATTTTGCAATTCCATAATGTAAATACATAGATCTAGATATGTATGTATATTCCATTATAGTACTTGTAATGCTTCATATCCTGACTTTTAAAAGTCAAGATGTTTTAGAATCGGAGAAATGAGTGTTGGGAGGGAGAAGGTACAGCATGGTTTTCCAGATGATCTTTCTTGTGCAATCTGAATAAACATACCTCTTTAAATGTGCTGGAGCCCCTTTTATATACATTTGTGTGCAATATACCATAAAGTTCCACATTAATCTGCCAAAATGATCCCTATAAAGCAATTATTGCCTTGGAAGACAGATATTTAAGTGTGTTAACATTTAAAAGAAATCATTTTATTGCTGTTATTTCTCACCCTATGTTTATAGTACAAAATATCCAAATGATATGTCATTGTGCAGTAACTACTACTGGCAAGGCTCTTTGTATCACAGCTATCTGCCTTCCTGAACACAGTGTTCTAGAGATCATCCACATGCCAATTTTGGAAGGCAAAAAAAAAAACACCCCACTTTATTTTTGTTCTGTCATACACTGTCAGTATGTGGATGTTCAGTTTATCACATCTCTACCAATACTATTCATTTGTGTACATGAAACCATTTAATCCACTGGCTCTGAAGACTTCAAACTAAAAACAAATAGGAGCTAAAAGCATTCTTTCCCAATGCAGTGTCTTGCAGAGGTGTTGGACTATATCACATTATGCCCAGCCAGTTTGACCTTTGAGATGGTGAGAATTTATTTATTTATTTATTTATTTATTTATTTACTGTATTTATACCCCGCTCTTCTAACCCTGAAGGGGACTCAGAGCGGCTTACAGATTTTGGCAAAATTCAATGCCTCATTATATATACAAATAATAAATATAACATATAAAATTGTACTTCCAAAAATGGGCAATACCAAGTTATGCAAAGCAAAGCTAAAACAGGAAAAGCAATGAAGAAGCCTTCTTAGGGTGCTTCTAGACAGTGTCAAAATGTGGGTTTAAAAAGCGCAGCAAAAAAATCCTGGGACTTGACAGCAAATCCACACACAGAACTGTCAGTCCTGGGAAATGCTTCTTCACCGTCTACACATCTTCCTTTGAAGCAGATTTTACAAGTCCGCAAGATGGAGGGGGGACAGGGGACACCCAGCGGAAGTTGTTTTGTGTGTAAATTCTCTCCAAGATGCACTGGATCTCATATGCGCTCATGTAGAGATCCTAATGTACATACAAGCAGATTTCTTATTTTCTCTCTTCACTCAATTCTAATTTCAAGCTCTGTTTAATATTATAAACATTAGAACAAAGAATGGTTGGACACTGTTCTAACTGTGGAAACTGGATAATGTTTTTAATGGATTTTGGTGTTTTAATTGTATTTATTGGTATATGTGGATTGCATTACTGGATGCTTATGTAAGGCCGCCCTGAGTCCCTTGTGGGGAGAAGGGCGGGATAGAAGTATATGTAATAAATAAATAAATACATAAATAACTTTCCAACTGTGCTAGCTTGAACCATATGTGTGTCCATGTCACCATTTTTTGTCAGCCAGATCAGCTGTTTTGAGCTTTTAAAACATGCATGTGTGCTGGAGCAGTCCACACGGGGCTTGGAATTGAAGTCACGTGTTTTCTATGACTGCAGGAATATACAAGTATGCGAAGATGCATATTTTTTGGGGAGGAATCGGGTTTTAAGTGCACCTTTTAAACATGTGCTTTTCAGCTGTTAACATGATTCCACCCACACTTTCCCCAAACATCATTTAGCCACCACCTCCCCTTTTAATCCAGGTTTTTTTTTCGGATTTTTAAACATGTGTAGAAGTGCCCTTAGCCATTTTTGGTAGAAGAAACATCTACACCCACAGTCAGAGCTATGAATAAATTAGATGCTTACTTTAAATTTTTCTACTCTACACTTTTGTATAATTTTACACAATTTTACTGTAAACTTGCTGAGTATTAGAAATGAGAAAACTTTTTAATATGAAATCTTTGCTATTAGACATGAGAGAGGGGGAAACTGAAGTTTACCAAGATCTCCAAGAGTCAATCCTGTCATCATGGGTTTGCCATCAAAACTGGCAGTACACAAATAAGACCTGTTTCTCCAAAAGAACCATTTTGTTTCTCAGCAAGGTATGCACCCTCCATACATTCTGCTTATATGGAGATCTGTAGTCCAGATGTACATAGTGTATGTGCTAAAAGTTTCAGGGGGGAAATCCTCTTAAAACCACGGCAGTTACTTAACTTTATTTTTGACAAATTCCAACGTATTTCAGCATCTTGATTTGTACTATTATAAAGGCATTGCTAAATGTTAAATATCCTTAACATTTATCAGCAAATTCCTGAAAGGAGAGATTACTTACTTCCAACAAAGGGGTCAGATTCAAAGAAGTCTAAATTAGATTCTGCAATCTGTTCAGGAAGCTGCTGGGAATCTTCATCAAAAGGATCTTCCTAGGAGGGAAGAAATCTTATTTTTATTTTGCAATGTACATTCACCCTGTGAAAACTGGCATTTCTCCTGTTCTAAATATTTATTTATTTATTTGTTTGCTTTACTTCTATACTGCTTTTCTCAGCCAAAATGGCGACTCAAAGCGGTTTACATAATACAAGTTATCACAACAATATCCAAGCAATTAGAGCACATTATACAAGACATACAAGGTCAAAAAACAATCATTATCATAATCGTAGCGCTTCAGCAAAAAAATATGGAACCCAGGAGGAAAAGGACAAGATTTCCCAAATTATAATCAAGCCACAGTGAACCAACTGATTAAGTGCTGGACTAGGAGTCTGGGGACTAGGGTCTGAATCCCTATTCAGCCATGGAAATTCACTTGATGAATCTTTGCAAATCGTACTCTCTTGGCCACAGAAAAGGGCAAAGGCAAAATCCTTATAAACAAGTTTTGCCAAGAAAACCCTGTGATAGAACAGCTAATCTGAGGCCCCTTCTACACTGCCATATAAACTCCAATTATTTGCTTTGAACTGGATTATATAGCAGTGTAGACTCATATAATTCAATTCAAAGCAGATAATGTGGTTTATCTGCTTTGATAATCTGGATTTTATGGAAGTGTAGAAGTGTCACCATGAGTTAGAAATGACTTGACTATACACAAGAACAAAAACAATCAAGCCACTAGAAACTGATCATCATTAACAGAGTTTGGAGAACCTCCCACTTATGGACTTTGGCAGATGGAGTCATGATTTTACCTGACTTCAATATACCCCCATTAGTCTAAAAATCTGCTTTGAAATAATAAAAGACTTTGAAAAAAAAACACACACAAAACAATACAAAACAAAACATGGTATGATGCAAGGAGTTTGCAAGAGGAAGGAAGGAAATGGCAAAATCTGTCCTCTTCCCATTCACAAAGGATAAACTCTTAATCCAAGCACTTAATTTTTTTCAATTATTCATACTTACTTCCATCTCCTACAGATTTCAGACATTAAACTTATGCCATACTATCACACCACTTTGTATTTTAAAATATTGTTCAAACCTACTTTTTTGGTAACATCTGGTGGCAAGGCCTCTTTCACTTCTTCTCCTCCTTCTACATCTGTTCTTTCCTGACTGTTCTGGGACTTTGGGGGCAGGGGGAGGTAAAATAATGTATATGAAGTTTCTTGCCAGGTTATGATATGCAACAATGTATATTCTCAAGCAACATGCACTAAAAAATAAGGACTGGAATTCACAACTGCAGTTATGAATGTGTAACTTAGAATCATGCATTTGTGAGTGATTCATATTCAATACAGTAGGGAGAATGGGGATGTGAAAGTCTCCCAATCCAGACTTACAGGACACCAACTGTCTTAAATCAGGGATTCTTAAACTTTTCCTACCTGAGAAGGTTTTTTGTGAACCCAGGTATAAATGTATACAAAAATAAATATAAAAATTCAAACATTTACTGATAATACCTCTAGTATCTCCAAGTCTGGCTAAATAGGCTGATGTTTCTTTTTGTACAATACAGCTGAAGCATCTTCTGCAAAGTCCACTGTAAACACTGCACCTTGTTGCTACCAATTTGTGTAAATAGGTGAAATTCAGAAATCTTTTACAGTTGCCATTGTTTTCACTCCAACATTGAGCTAAGGGGACACTATTTGAGGTCAGGACCCACAGTTTAAGAAGCAGGGTCTTCTCTCTTGTCAATTGAGAGTGATACTTCCACACTCATCCCACAAGTGATCTCCAGTGCAAAGTGGAATCAAGACAATGGTCTTGTTCCTGGAAAGAGATAACTGTTAGGAAGAGAGTGGAAACATCAGTCAGTTCCATCTTGATTGACAGAAGATCAAGCCAGTTCCTTGCAACAGCTGCCACCCAATAAATCTATATGAGGACACTGGTTGAGCTGGGGGATGCTATTTTGCTGAATTGCTAAGCAGCTGTTTTGGAATTGAAGTCATAATTCACAATATGTACCCCTCGACTATATCAACAGCATTTACTTTAATTCATTTAATCAATATGAAAAGTAAACCAGAGAAGGCATAGCTTGTACACCATCTGCACATGCAGCCAGGAAAGCATATTGTATAAATGGAACTATGTTGCCTTCCTTCAAACAATGAAGAATTATAAATAGAAAGAGCACTAAATCAAAAAAGCAAACCCTAAACTATTTTGTGCAGAAACAGCATTATTTTTTCTAGCTGTTAGGAGAATGCACATTTTCCCCATAGCTAATATCAGGTGACAGAGAATGCCACAGAGGAACCCTTGTTTCAAAAGTTGCATTTAGATGTGGACCAACACTGTAAACATGGAGTAATAAAAACTTGTGATTGTCCTTGAAAAAAGAAGACTGTTGTATGGTCCTAGACATTTTACAGCTTTGGTGCTTAATTCTGCAAATATGATGGTAAAGCATGCTGAACTTTGCATCTAAGTGCCAAACAAACACACATATCCAAATAATGTAAAATAACTGAAATTCTGAACAACTGGAGAAGGGAGTCTATGCTTAATACTGCAAATGTGAAAAGAAGAGAGCCAATTAAGCTGGTGCAATCAGTCCTCACTGACAACTGTAGTAATTATTTGGTTGTAGGCGACATATGACTAAGGGAATTAACCAATGTAGCAATCCATATTTACATTTCTATGAAATAAGCACTGACGTACTTGGAACAGAAACATTATTGATGGGTTTGTTGTGTTTACAAAATTCGAAGCTTGAATTGATCCAGTTTTATAATTAGAATCAGATCCGTTTGTCACTACTTACAGGAGAGTCACGATCTATTTGTTCGGCATCAGCTGAATACTCTCTTTCAACATTTTCGTTAAAGTTAGCAGTTTCGCTGCTGCTGTTACTGAGGTTACAATGATCTGCATTCCCATTAAGTAGTGTGCTGGGTGGCTGAGCTTCCCAATTCAACTGGCTGTGTTCCAACTCTTTGAGTTCAAAGAGTTTCGTTTGCACCTGTGAAGAAAAACAAACCGATTAAAAGCACAGAAGAGAATAAAAATAGCAAGTGTAATATTCTAACCCTGTCATGCATTTAGGTTATACATGCCTATTTTCAGAATTTAGTTCTCTGCGTACTATGCAAAATGAAAAATGTGGCAAAATGTCTCCCAAAACTTATGAATCCCCCCAAGTCTAATCAACTTTCTCTTTATTTCTTTCTTTCCAAATTTCTTTACTCTTCCAGGCGACTAATAAATATAGTCACACACAAATAGCTCTGCATGTAATAGCAGTTTTGAAATTGCTCAATTGCTGCAATAATGAAGTATATATAATATCTTGTTGCATTGTGGCATTCATTTTAGTGCTCTTATTCTTGGATCAGACATTTGGCCTCTGTTTAGATGCAACAGTAAACAAGAACAAGTCTGCTAACTTGAAAATTTCAAATACAACCCCTTCCATTGCAATTATAGGGTTAGGGGGGAGGTTAAAGGCATCCAACTGTCTCAATACTGTTTGTTGTTGTTCATTCGTTCAGTCGTCTCCGACTCTTCGTGACCTCATGGACCAGCCCACGCCAGAGCTCCCTGTCGGCTGTCACCACCCCCAGCTCCCTCAAGGTCAGTCCAGTCACTTCAAGGATGCCATCCATCCATCTTGCCCTTGGTCGGCCCCTCTTCCTTTTGCCTTCCACTTTCCCCAGCATAATTGTCTTCTCTAGGCTCAATACTGTTTAGGAGGCAGCAATTACATTGTTTCACAGTTATGTCATGTTTTTATTTCACCTTTCCTCCAGAAAACTCAGACTGGTTCATACCTTTAATTCTAACATTTGGCCTACAAGGACTGATCACTATGAGAAGTAATGATTGACCTCCAAGGCCATATAGCAAAATATGTTTGGCAAAATTTAAACTAAAACTTTCTGTTCTAACCAGTACTGCCAGCACTTTTCTGTTTTAATTTCAGCCTTCCAGAAGAATAATCAGAATAATCAGAATGTTTTTAAAATAAATTAAATACACTATTTAAAAGTAATAATTGCAGTTTCCCATGTATAGCAGACATTCCAGTATTATTTCTCTGGTTTTCAAATGTTTTGGACTTCAGCTCCCACAATCCCTGATCACTGAGGAGCCTGGGAGTTGAAGCCCAAAACACTTGGAGGACTACATTAAAATGACAATCGTGTCTATACATTTTTTTTCATTTGAACGTACACTATTGATAGTACTTGCTATGGGGAGCCACAGTTAAACATGGCTGTTTAAACAAAGCTTTTGTTGTATCCACACAGTGCAGCACACATGACATGAATCCATCATCTGGCATACTAGATGGTACACCCAAAACATTCTGAGAAAATTGTATTTTAACCTAAAAAAATACATTATCACAGCAACGAATGTTTCCAGAAATGCTGCTTATTTTTACTGTTAATATGAAGGTCCTTACATTTCACATGAAGCAGTAACAGAATTAATGCATAGTTACAGATTTAATGAGGTTCAAGCTTCAAACTACATTGGTTGTTTCTATATACGTCCATCTTAAGACATAGACAACATTCTAATGTTTGTGTTGTTGTAAGCTTTCATGGCCGGAATCCCTGGGTTGTTGGGAGTTTTCCGATCTGTATGGCCATGTTCCAGAAATGTCAAGAGAGAATACTTCTGGAACATAGCCATACAGCCCAGAAAACTCACAGCAACACACAATCTAACATTTGAAGGAGGAAGGGAGGGAGAGAAAAAAGGGAATGTGGTAGCAACTTTTATGACTAAACTGGTTTTTATTTTGGCATGGAGTCCCCGTGGCACAATGAGCTAAACCTTTGTGCCAGCAGGACTGCTGATGGCGATTCAAATCTGGGGAGAGTGGGTTGAGCTCCCATCTGTCAGCTCCAGCTTCTCATGTGAGCACATAAGAGAAGCCTCCCACAGGATGGTAATACATCCGGCCATCCCCTGGACAACATCCTTGCAGACGACCAATTCTCTCACACCAGAAGAGACTTGCAATTTTTCAAATTGCTCCTGACACAAAAAATATTGGCATGAGCCTTTGAGGATATAAACCCATTTTTTCAGATGTGGTAATTCCAACATTTGGTTTTCTAAATAGCCTGATGTTTTCCAGTTATTTACAGGATGCTTAATGTACAGTTTAAACTTAAATTTCTCTAACTTAAAAACTGACACAGTAATAATAAGCTGCCCATATTTCTTGAGGAACACAGCAATTTCAATATTAGAGTTATTCCCAACATTGCAGGGACAATATGTGGCAAGTAAAGAAATCAAAGTAATGCAAGAAAAGATGGGAAAATTTTCTTTCAGAGAAATCCTTACTGAAGCAATTTCTTCTTGTGAATCTTGGAGATCCTGCTGAAGAGGTCCCAGCTGCAGTTTTCCTGTCTCCACACACTTCTCCAGCTCTGCTGTTTCCTGCTGTAGCCTGCTAAGCTCCTCTTGAGCTTTATTCAAGTCATCTTTACATATTGAGATTTTGAACTCTTGATCAGTTATTTCTGCTTTTAGTGATGCAATCTGCAGAACAGAGATTGAAGCATATGGGCACTGCTTAAATTCTTCCCACTCCCACATTCAAAAATAGTGCAAGAGAAACATATGGCTAAATATGTGAAATATATTTCATTGCAGCATTTGAAAAAGTAACTCCACTAGAAAAAATGCCATTTATTACAAGAATTTGCCTTTAAATAAGGATCTATCATGGAAGAACCACTATGGTGTAGTGGCTTTAGCACTGCACTGTACAGACCATTGTTTAAATCCCTACTCAGTCATGGAAATCCATCGGATCTCCTTATGCAAGTCACTTTCTCTTAGCCTCAAGGGAATGCAAACACAAACCTCTTCTGAACAAAGCTTCTCAAGGAAATGCTGTAAAAACTTCAACTTAGGGTTACCATGAGTCAAGTACTGATGTGGCAATGGGCTGGCAAGACATGCAGGATGATAAATCCTACAAATCATAAGCATGAGCCTTGTTTGGGTGCCAAGATGACTGTTGCATGTTTACCATTTTAGTGCATGCCCAAGAAAAGGAAGCTGTACTGCAAAAACATTCTATATCAGCGGTTCTCAACCTGGGGGGTTGCTGGGCCATTTTCTGGGGTCACGAAGGAGCCTTGGTTGGCCCCGCCCCCTCCGCCTCCCCAAAATGGCTGCCGGCTCCTGTGCCAGGGAAACAACCAGGCTTTCCAGGTCAGCTCCTCCAACTTGCGCGAGGCCTCCCGCTGGCCGGCAAGGGCACGAGGCAGGCGAGGGCCCTTTGCGTAAGGCCTTGCCTTGTGCAAGACCTCCCTCGTCTCCATCGCGCTCCCGCCGGGTGGCAGGGGCGCGGGGCAGGTGAGGGTCCCTTAGCGCCAGGCCAAAAATAATTTTATGGTTGGGGGTCACCACAACACAAGGAAGCATATTTAGGGGTCACGGTGTTAGAAAGGTTGAGCTCTATATCCTCTACCATCTCATATTGACCAATTGGTCCAGACACAATGTCCATAAACTGCAAAACCACAGTTTGGAGGAATAGGTTGCTCTTTGTACTTTGATTCATTTTTGGACATTGATTTCTTTTCATCTATCCCTGCTGGCAGAAACACTAACTAGCCTGCTCATCTCATATGCAACAGCAAATCAGAGTTTAGAAGCAGTAAGTTCCAAGTGATATAATTACTTGTATCAACTAATTCCATTTTTATGAGTGTAATGAACCTATATTTCAAAAATAGTATGACAAGCGATGTAACAAGTATCTTTTAAGATGTTAGGGGAAATTCTCACATTTTACATTCTTTTCCCATCAATATTAAGATTTTCCTCAAAAAAAAAAGAAAGTAAATGAAAAATATGGAACCACACAATGAATTTCTTTTTAAAACACTGTAATAAGTAATGACACAATTATTTAAACATCAAAACAAGCAATGGGAACAAATTACTTTTAAAAAGCAATTTTCTATCCATTGTGGCACATCGTTGCTTGCTCTTACAACTATAAAGTACTATGAACATTACAGTTGAACCATTTCAGTCACTTTGCAAGTCTGCAGACTGTTAGATTTAATAATTTAACTACCGCAAGACATTTATCCTTTCCTTTTGGAGATACATTTGGTCACTTAAGAAACAGAAATGATTTCTGCAAATTAAAAGCATAAGATGCAAGAATTTTAGACTAGAGTCATTCAAACCTAAATACATATCGATTTAATTGATTATCACAATAATTACAATGGAAAGATATTCACAGAATTCCCTTGGAACCTAACAGGTATGCAGCAAAATGAGTTTTTGATGGCACAGACTAAGGACGGGTATCATCATGAGGTCCTCCAGGTGTTACTGGAATGAAAATTCTAGCAGTCCTAGCCATCATGTGGATGACAAATACTGAGATTTGCAGTCAAGAGGGTTTGAAGAGCTACATGATTCCAATCCACGGCACACTGACTTACATAGTTATAGAGACATATCACAACTATAGCAAGATTGTCTAGTTCTACTTTGGCTTATATTCATTCATTTTATTCCTGCATTTCAGCTTATTCACGTCTAGTCCTCAAACCAGGACAAAAAGAAAAATCTATGAATCGGCATCTTAAAATAAATAATCTTTAGACATTAATTCTTCACATTCTCCAATTTCAGCTACTTTGTTTTCCTAAAAAGGAACATAATAATATGATTCCAGGAAAGAGATACATAAAATGAGGGGGTTTACACAAATAAGTTGCCAAGGCTTACCAAATCAGCCTCTTCAGCACATTTCTGACGAATGGTGTTAAGCTGTTCTTCTAGCTTTGCTTTTTCCTCATCAAGACCATTAAGGATTTCTTCTGCTTCCTCTTTCTGAGCCAACAGCTTCTGCAAATTATTGTTCTCCCTCTTTACTTCATCCTGAAGATCCTGATTTTTTAAAAGCAAAAACAAACATTTTATGAATTCCTTTCTAATGAAAAGAATATAGATTAAAATATTATATTACTGATTTAAGCCTTTTAATGTAAGCAGAACACTGAAAAATGAGGAATGGTACAAAATGAAATTTGGAAAAAAATGATTACAGGTGATATGGAAAAAGAGGTTAATTAAATTTACAGGGCATGCTTTTACCAAGAAAAAAAGTGGGAGAAAGTAAAAGGAAATGCAATGCTTTACCATTTCTTGCCAGAAAAATGGTGGCCCGAGCAGTCTAGATTGTCAGACGGTGTCCAATATGCAAATGACATTATAATTGAGATGTAGTACCAAATAGCTTGGGACTAAGTCAATGGACTTTGTGTGACCTACAGAAGGCTATTTCAGAGAGATTTGTTTGCAATTTTTTTGCCTTCCATCTTTTATTATAGAAATGAGCTGGTCATTAAAATATTTATTTATTGTTAGCAGTGCTGGTGTAGTGGTTTGAGTGTTGGGACCTTGGAAATTAGGGTTCAAATTCTTTGTTAGACTATGAGAACCTGTATGGTGACCTTGGGAAAGTCAGACACCCTTGGCCCCAGAAAACCCTGTGGTAAGTTCACTTTGGGGTTGTTGTAAGTCAAAAAAGACTTGAAGGTAAATAGCACACTGAATCCAGTTGCTTTTCTAATTACAGATGGTGGCACATTGTGAGGTAAAATGTAAAAAGGAAATATAGATGGGAAGAAATAGTTTGAGCTCACTGAAAACATTCTCAAAGGAATGGGTGACCTTTATCCTCCCCCCCCCCCCCATCCTTTATTTCCTCTAAAAATCCCATTTGGGGCCACTTCTGCCACAACAGCAGCAAAAATCAAGCAGTTATATGCTGAATACAGTTCACTGGTGTGCACATCTCATTTTCACAGCATCCCGCATCTGGAACCCCCTGGAAACACAATTCCAGGGGGTTTCAGATGAGTGTACACATCCCTGAGGTTTGTGCAGCAGCTATGGAACTCATTGTGGAGGCAGCAGTGTTGGTGACACCGGCAAATATAGCCTGGAAGGAGCATATGGCCCACAAACTGCATGGTGCTTATACCTGCCTTAAACCATTCTTACAAGTGGAAGACATAAAGGAAGGAATGCAACTTGTACACAAAGAGATAGGGATGCAAATATATTCAACATCTATCTCACTTGAAAAAAATGCAAAAAAATCCAAACCCACCCTAGTTTGATATTGGAAAAGGTCCGCTTATACTGCTAATCTACACATTTTGAGATCCCATACCTTCTGCAGAACCCCCCCCCCCCCCCCCCCCCCCCCCCCCGCAGCTTTAGTCTTTCAATGTAGAGGAATACAACATTCATCAATATAGGGTAGAGAAAGAGCTCTTCTAAATCCTAGGATTCATTTTCTATCAATAAAACCTCAGAATTAGAAAGCAACTATGAAATTTCCACAATCATGTACATTCCTGGATGTCTATATTATGTATTCATACCACAAGGGGAAATGCTTTAGGAGTGCAGTTTCAGATCCATTTTAGATCCAATGTAAAAAATATAAAATGCACAAATTACATTTGGGCAATCAAAATACTTTAGAATGCCTAGAAAAGGCTTTTATTGCTGTATAGTAATAGCAATAGAAAACCTTCTCACAAAATGAGCAACAGCTTTGTGTGTGATACTGCTTTAATTTTCTCAATCAGAAAACAACAGTTACTAATTGATGAAAAAAAACATCTAAAAATTAATTCCAACCAGAAAAAAAGCATTATCAGGCAGATTGTTTTTTTTAAAACTGCTTTTGTTCAGTATGCAGAAATTTAGATGCTCAAAGGTTTACTTCCATCATGGCATGGATCAGAGAATTCCTTAAAAGCATACGTGCAGGTCTATGATCACTTACGCATGGGCAATTTCAATTAGAACAAATGGACTTTAAGTCTTAAGAAACTACATCCAGTATGTAGCCTTAATGGATATATGAGGAAATGCAGGCACTTATCTTTCCCAAGCAAAATTCTGAATGTGTTACACTGCATGATGCTAAAATTCTAATACCATGGATCCTATGAGCATATAGCTAGGATAATATGTCACATTTTCACAGCCAAGTTTCAGTTCCTAAAGCTTGCATTATAATACTGGTATTAGTTTGTATATAAATCCTTCAAGTGTGCTTGCTAGAGGGCACTTCCCTTTCTGAGACATATTTTCAATATGCTTTAACACAGCCAAAGTCCCAAATTCAAATAGCATTTACCTGGACTTCACTTTTCCTCCGTTCGATCGTGTCTTCTTTCTCTTTAAGATCCTGCTCCACAGTTTTCTTTTCCCTAGATGACCAGCAAACAATGCAAGAATATTTAAGAACATCCGCTACACCGGGTACTGTTATCCAGCCTCCTAAGCCAGAGTCTCCTTTTAAATGCATAATAGAACCGTTAAATTGACAGAATACTGTTTTTGGTCCCTTTCTATACAAAATAAATGGTCTACATATGTTAAGTACTAAAACACAAAAGACATCCCTCTCCCATACATGGGTAGGTGGAAATAACAGCTTAAAAAAAAGGGGGGGGGGGTAGAGAGAATCAATGAAAGACTGTCTTCAGTGATCTCACTGTTGCTATGGAGCAACTGTCTGGTAAAAAGGGGGAGGGATTGCATCAGCTCACTTCTGTTTAACCCTCTTTGAACCAGAGCTGTTGTAAGTGTGATCTTTGCAACTGTCAAGCCAGGAGCCACCATATTGTACCCCCCCTCCTAGCATTCTAACAACAGTGTTGGTACAAATATGAAAAAAGGGAAGTACAAGCAGCACAGCACACATCTCCCCCACCATTTTGGATGCTTACATCAGATAGGTTCTGGTCCAGGTTGGATCCACGGAGCCACAAGACAGAAGTGTACAGCTAACAATACAGGTTTGCTTGCCTTTATGCAAGAGCAGCAGAACAATTTACAGCATGCTACGGTATATCCTCAATAGCTCTCATGAGCTAAAGAACTAGTAGGACAAGATGTTAAGATGCAGTCTAATTTTCTTCACATATCACACCACAGCATAAGGTTTTTGAAAAAAGACATTTTGTGCCTGTAGCAGGGATCTTTGGATTTTAGGGATAAGCAATTTGTAACCCTCCAAATACTGGTAGACTGCAACTCCTAGCTTTTCCCCTATTGGCTATATTGCCTATAGCAGACAGCAAATGCTGTCTAGCATCATCTGCATTGACAGCTACACTCTACCCACTCAAGAAATAAATGAAACAACCTTGGATCACTTTATACATTACAATACATACTTTTATGTTAATATAAGGGCTAGTGCCACTGCATTTTAAATAACTTTTTCACTGTAGAATTCACTGAAATAATTTATCCTACTCTATACAGGATATTGCCTACTGGTAAACTGATTATTTATTTAATATTACACCCTTCTCACCCCGGAGGTGACTCAGGGCGGAGCCCAACATACAAACGGCCAACATTCAATGCCGGGACATAAATTATATGTATATACAAAACATTAAAAACATTTGTCTCAACATTAAAATCCACTTCTTAAACCATCTCGATCAACTGCATCAAATCTAGTTGGCATGGTAAGGTTTCCTATTGTTACTTTACAATGTTGTTAAAGCTAAATCCTTTAGAAAAGCCTTTTTTTTCTAGAAAGTTTGAGTATGCAGTCTGAAATCCCATTCAGATGAACTCTTGTTTTAATACAGGAGAAGTATTCCTTATGTAAAATGCTTGGGGCCAGAACTGTTTTGGATTTTGGACTATTTGTATATACATAATGAGGTTTCTTGGAGATGAGACTCAAGTCTAAAAAAATTCAGTTTGTGTACACTGAATCATCAGATAACGAAAGTGTCATTATTTCAGCCACCTAAGTGGATAATTTCAGATTTTTTGGGGGTATTTCTGGCTGAGGGCATAACACTTAAGAATAGTTAAGCTCTTAACTTCCTGGTGGGTAATAATAGAGGAAGAAGAAAGCACACCATCCTGTGAGCCATTTCCTAGTTTCACAATCATGGCTATGAAGACTGAGGTCAATTATGATTGTGCAAGGGTAGCAAAAGCAACACACAAATTAGCCCTCCACTATTGTTTTTCTCTCTCCTATGAATGAGAGTCTTCAATGAGATTTGGTTATTAATAACTCTGTTCAGGCTATTCACATTTAGGGGTGAGGCTTTTTTGATTCACTTAATGTGGCCCTTTTCCCCCTATGATCTTCAATGTCATTGAACCTTATTGTCTTTTCCAGGGAACCATGTCTTCTCATTATGTGTCTAAAGTACAATACGATCAATTTACAGTGGGATAAAAATGCAACGCAAGGAGGGACAGTTAATTCTTTTCCTTCTTTTTTAAAAAGTCAGTTTTCTATTTTTTTGGTGTCATATACATACCTTGGTGATCTCAAGCCATTTTTGCTAACTTGCACCATTGTTGTAACACTTCTCTTATTCAGAGATCACCAGCATTAAGCCATATTTCCAAAGAATAACACCAAAGGTGGAAAATACAATCCAGTTAGCATTTGGAAGTAGGCCAAACTTACGTTAAAGTTTCAGGTCTACTTATCCCTGAGTTTTTTGGAGTCCATGTTTTTCAATCTCCTCCAAATCTACCAACAAGAGGCTCAAAAACCCTTAAACCTCCTTGGTAAAAGAATGTATGCATTTAATCATTCCTGACTGCTAACTGAGCCTTCTATAGAATAAAATGAATTAATTTTTCTCTTGCCAAATATTTAAGAGAAAGAAAAATCTTAAATGCAGATTTGCATCTGTTCCTATAAATCTTTCCTGAAATATTACTAATGGGTTCCTAGCCAAGACACTATGCTATAAATAGCAAAAGAGCTGAGTGTGGCTGTTTATGATTAGCAAAAGGTGAAATAAATGATGAATAGCAGAAATCAGATAAAGAAATATATTCAAAGGAAGATTTTTTTACCAAATTCTGCATTGCTAGTAATAGGCTGTTTAATCTTACAAGTCAGGATATACTTTGTTCCCCCCCCCAAAAAAAAATCTGTTTTTATTATTGTCTACAAGCTCCATCTCTTCCCACAACTTTGAAAGCACTTTTGTAGATATAGTATACTCTGTATCTGAGTGTTATGATGTTAAACAGTGTATTTTGCCAAAACATTACACAAGTATTACTATCGAAAAACTCATTCATACCGTAAATCATATTTTCCAGATTTAATATGAAGATTATTTTCCTGTACTTCACAGAAAAAGAAGATTAACCTAGAACATGATAAACTATTTATAGTAAGCATACAGTAAGCAAGTATATAGTAATGAACATCGGAGCAAAAGATTCCAATTGCACATATTTGGAGTTAGAATAAATCCATGAAGATGTGGTCCTCACTAGCCTCTAAAACTGGAGCAGTATTACAGATAATGCTTCATTATGGCCTATGATATTATTATTTATTTTATAATTATTTACTATATTTGTACCCCGCCCTTCTCAACCCCGAGGGGGACTCAGAGCGGTCTCACTTATTGACAACAATTCCATGTCTTAAAATAACACACAATTGGTAAACATTTACATTAAAAACCAAAGAATTAAAACATCTAAAACAATTATATCAATTACTAAAATCACATAATCCAAAATCGCAATCCACAGACATTGCACAGATTCTATATTCATTTATTGCACTGCAGTTACTCTCCAAAAGCTTGGTCCCATAACCATGTTTTAACTTTCTTTCTGAAGGCTAGAAGAGAAGGAGCTGATCAAATATCACTGGGGAGGCAGTTCCATTGCTGAGGAGCCACCACTGAGAAGGCCCTGTCTATCATCCCCACCGACTGTGCCCGCGAAGGCGGTAGGATTGAGAGCAGGGCCTCCCCAGAAGATCTCAATCTCAGTGGTGGTTCATAGAGGGAGATACGTTCAGACAGGTAAGGTGGTCCGGAACCGTTTAGGGCATTGGTTCTCAACCTGTGAGTCCCCAGATGTTTTGGCCTTCAACTCCCAGAAATCCAAACAGCTGGTAAACTGGCAGGGATTTCTGGGAGTTGTAGGCCAAAAGACCTGGAGACCCTCAGGTTGTGAACCACTGGTTTAGGGCTTTATAGGCTAAAACCAGCACTTTGAATTGTGCTCGGTAACAGACTGGCAGTCAGTGGAGCTGATGTAACAGGGGAGCTGTATGCTCCCTGTATGCCGCTCCAGTGAGGAACCTGGCTGCCACCCGTTGGACCATTTGAAGTCTTCAAAGTCAACCCCACATAGAGCGCATTGCAGTAGTCTATTCAGGATGAGCATGGACTACCATGGCCAAGTGTGACTTTCCAAAATACAGGCACAACTGGCACACAAGTTTTAATTGTGGAAATGCTCCTCTGATCACTGCCAAGACCTGGGGTTCCAGGCTCAACAATGAATGCAGGATCATTCCCAAGCTATGAACCTGTGTCTTCAGAGGGAGTATAACCCCCGTCCAGCAGGCTGTAACCCTATACCCTGTTTAGCCTTGCGAATGACCAGGAGTACCTCTGTCTTGTCTGGATTCAGTTTCATTTTGTTTGCCCTCATCAGACCATCACAGCTGCCAAGAACCAATTCAGGACCTCAACAGCCTCCTTAGTAGCAGGGAGAAAGGAGTGATAAGAGTTGAATGTCATCTGTGTACAGGTGGCATCGAACTCCAAAACTCCTAATGATCTCACCCAGCAGCTTCATGCAGATATTAAACATGTGAGACAATACTGCACATGTTAACTAGTTACCTTTTTTTGAGTGGTGTTATAACATATGAATTTTGTATTAGAAAACAGAATTGGCATTTACAGAGCCCAATGATTTTTTTCTTGGGGTCTTGGCTTTTAGGTCTGCTCCTGGTGGAGTGCTGATTAAGAAAATTACATCGGATAAACCACATTAGAGTTAGTCTTATATATATAGTTGAATTTATAAATTTACATTTTAATTTTAATATTCTGACATGAAATAAGTAGATTTTATGTAGTGTACACTTTTTCATATAATTTTAATATGTTTTCTTCGTGCTTAAAATACATTAATTTAAATGCTACGTTAAGATACTTTGATTTTGTTTAATGAGTGAGCAAATGGCGACTGGTAGGTGGATTATATTTTATATTTAAAAAATGAGAGCTGATAGGGGAAAACTGGTGCCATTTTTGGAATCATCAGGTCTAACATTTGAGGCTCCAAAATGTGTGTTGACCCGAGTTGTTATTTTTAGGTCACAGGCAGATATACATTCTGAATGCACTCCAGGCAGTAGAATATTTACATCAAGTTCAAGTTAAGGAATAATTTAAGTTCAACTATGGACAGCAGAAAGCATAATTTAAACATGAAAAAATGGAAACCATGTGAATCATTTGGGATGACTCATGATAACAGGATCATTTACTTCTCATCTGTGTTTCCTGCTCCACTTTCTGATTTTCTCCAAATGCAATTTGCCATGCCATCTAAGTAGACAATGTGCATAGCATCTCGAACAGGGCTTTGAAATAATTTAAGCAACTCAACAAATTAAATCGTTATTAATTCATTAGGTTTTTCTTCCAATGTGGCTTGATTAACATATTGTTTGATGAGTTACTTTAAAGTTTAAAATGGCAATTTCTTAAAAAACATAAATAGCTCCTCCTCTGGCAGATTTAATAAGATTAGAAGATCTGAGGAGGAGGGTGGAAGGAATGCATCTTATGGTTCTGTTGCTAGGCAGTAGAACCCAACAGAAGAACTGCTTGGAAGAAGTTGGAAGAGATGGGACTGGGAAGAAGCTGAAGAGATTTTCCTCACCCAAATATTAAATTCACACATACGTTAAATTTACTTGCAATTAAATGCAAACGTTCAATTTTAACCGAACTCTTACCTCAGTAGGTCAACGATTTCATTACTCAATGTATCTAGTTCTTTGATTGCAGAAAAGTCTGCAACAGGACTTGGTCCCAACATGTTCTGCAAGATAAAGAAAATATTACTTGTCTTTGCATTTTACTAAAACTGGCAACCCAAAATGTAGTGAGGCTAACAGATGAACTAGCATCCTGTCCCTAGCAAAAGTGAAGAAAGGTTATATGCTCTTCTCACAGGTAACTGTGTTGTAACTAACTATATGTAAAGATTTAAATACTGCTTGTGTTTCTTTTGATCTTATCAGCTTTTCACATTTAGGACTGAATTGGGATTGCAGCGGATAACTATCTATACTCCATGTGAAAACTGTTGAAGAAGGGAAGCAGCAGTCTTTGCATAAATTGGCATATTGATTCATTATGTGGTAATTATTTTTTGTTGACCATTGTTTTATTTCTTTTATGTCAGAATTTTTCACATGATTATGAGTTCTGTACTGATATACCACTGCTGATTTTTTTAAATATTTCAGCAGATGAAAAAAGAAGGAAACTCTTCACTTCTAAATGAAGTAGTGAATAGAAAATGAAACTGTCAAAAGCATAATTTAGAATTTTTAGGCACTTTTAAAGTTGCATAATTCTACCAGAATATATGATACTGCTAAACTCTTCATTATAGTGTTAATTATATTCCTGACAAGGTTGAGAACATTTCCTCTGTCAGCAGTACTTTTATATACTTTACTGATGTCAGTTGCTTAACACTGAATGCATCCACTTATTAGTTATGTTACTATACAATACAGTTTTCCAGATCTTACTGAACTGCAAGTCCCAGCATTCTTCATCACTTGCTATGATATCTAGGGCTGATGATCCAACATGTTGCAATCCAACATCTGGGGACTGGGGCACATGATTCCCCATTCCTATGCCACAGTGTTAAAACTTCAGACTTCATAAATTATATGACAAGCCAAATGTGTAACTCTGAGACATGACATCTTACATTAGAATATGTTCATTCCCTAACCACATATATGGAGAGATAAAAAACTTGTAAATTAAACAATTCAAGTACCATTTCTTTTATACAGGTATTAAACCAGGCACCATTCTGTATCGTTTTCATCTAGAGCAGAGACCTTTGAATGAGAACAGCTATAGGAAAATAGCACTACTCTGAAAGTTAAATGGCATGCTACTGTTTCAAAGAAAACATGACATGAGTGAGAAGCTCATTATTAAACAGTCAATATTGGAAAAGTGAATAATCTCTAACCTTGAGATGGCAGATTTAAGAAACTGACAGTATAATAAAGATGTAAAGCAGAATGGTGCAGAATGGAAAATATAGTCCAAACCAGGAAAGACATAGGAGGAAAGCAAACATATAAAAATATTAGTAAAGCAAGAAACAAAAGCAGTTTTACCCCCAAAACAATGCAAAAAAATAAACTTGATATTACTGAATTCAAACAAAAAGCAGAACTGTTTAAATGCCATTTCTGGGCAAGAAATTCAGTTTGTTCTGGAAAGCTTAGCGCAACCAAGAAGAAACCTTCTAGTGACAACAAAGCTAGGAGATCTTTATAAGAAGGTCGGATTTTAATCATTTTTTACATTGCATTTACTGTTTAAATGAGCAACCACTAATTATAAGATTTAGCAATTAATCAAGCAGAAATTATTATATAATATTGTTATTAAAACAAAGGTGTTAAGAATCATGCAACTCCTTAACATGAAGATATGGCAAAGATGCCAGAAAGAACACACACACTTATAGAGGCAGTATTATTATTATTTCAAACATTTATATCCCGTCCTTTTCAACCCCCGAGGGGGGACTCAGGGTGACTTACAACTGGCAATCATTCAGTGCCAATAAACAACTATCACAATACGAATAATTAAGTAGACCAACAAGATTATAAAATACATTAAAATATAAACCATTAAAATATTAAAACACAACCAAGCTTACTTCCAGACCAGAGATTTCCGTGTATACGTAGAAGATGCAGTATACAAGAGGCCTTTTCCCTTCAGGACAACAATGTGGATAGCTTTGTCCACATCCCTCCACTTTCTAAGAGTGGTACTCCCCCCAACCTTTTAGTAAGTGTCACCCATCCCAGCTATGGTCACACAGCAATGTCAGATTAACTTGTAAAGATCTCTATCTTCAACAATTCCTTTAAACTCTTATTTACTTCATGTAAACATACGGCAAATCTGCTTGGTTGGCCAATGTAATGGAGAAGGAATTACCAATAAAGTGAGCAAATGGCACTGAACTCATTCATGTATTTTTAGCACAGTAAAGGGCTACTTCACCATGCACCATGCACTCCTCTGATGTTGCAAAGCCACAGATTTAAAACCTGCTCTTTATGCTCTTGTATTTATGTGTTTTTTTTCTCCCATAACAAGATGCCCAAAGTATCACCTTTTGTAGCGTGGCTCGCTCCAATGGAGGGACCATATCTGCAGTCAGCACCTGAGGAGGATCAATGCCTTTTGTCAGCTTCTGATTGATGAAATGGAAGGCCAAAGCGAACTGTTCCTTGGAAAGTTTGCCACAGTCCCTTGTGTCACAGAGAGCCCTATAAAATCCAAAGAGGGAAGATATCTTTAAAACATATGGCAAGATGAAGTTCACTTGCTGTTTGAAAATGACTTCAAATATACATAACCCCAGGATTCAGATAATTAATTATATATAGTCAGCCTTCCATATTTGTGGATCTGACTATTGCAGATTTGATTTCACTGATTTGATTAAAATATTCTCTCTGGGAATCTCTAGGTCCTCCTGTCTGATTCTATGGCAAAAGATGACTTCAGAGTCGTGCTGGGGGATACAAGAGATTCCTAGAAAGGTGTTCTCTCTCAGGTAAAACAAAACAGGAATTCTTTTGTGTTTTTCTCTTTCACTGGAGACCTATGTCCCTAACCCCAGCGACTACGGAGGGCTGTCTGGTTGATATGCTATGTTAAGTGGTTTCACAGAAGCATCACAATAGAAGATGACATAGACCAGTGGTTCTCAACCTGTGGGTCCCCAGGTGTTTTGGCCTACAACTCCTAGAAATCCCAGTCAGTTTACCAGTTATTAGGATTTCTGGGAGTTGAAGGCCAAAACATCTGGGGACCCACAGGTTGAGATCCACTGCCATAGACTTTCAAATATCAATAACCAACACCTTTTTTGTTCTACTTGGAAGATCTGGGAGGTACCTGGAGAGTTATGTTTGGAAAAAGAATCCTGAATGTATATAGACACTGGTCTAATCAAATAAGCTGATTTTTATAATGAAAGATGCATATAATTCCCTTCTTTATTTTTATATTCAACACAAATATAGAAATCAGTGTCTTCTTCTGCTGCAACAATTTAAACAGATTGTGCTTTCCTTATCCATCTAATAAATGCAAACAATAGCGTTTCATGCAATAACAGATTAGCGTTTGTAATCAAGAGTTAGATGCAAATAGGAAAACAAGGAACTGTGCTCATTATTTACTTGGAAAATTGGCCACAATTGTTGCACTCTACTTTTTCCACAGCTACTCAGGGTTGGTTTTTTCGCTAAAAGGAACACGAAACATAGTGGACACTTTATTATCAAACCTAACAGTAAACTCTATATCGGGGGTGGAAGTATTAGACAGCTGTGGACTTAAGACGTTCCCATGTCCAATCTTATCAAGCCCATTGAGGATAAAAAATATATCCCTACAGCAGTGGATGATTATTCTGTTGGAAGCAGCCAGGATGTTCAGCTCTCTTCTGGAGCAGGCACCTATCCTAGCAGTTTATTCCAAATGTTATGCACACCGTAAAGGCTGGGTGGAGTTAAACTTTCTTTCACTTGGCTTCCTTTCACATTGGTGATTCATGGCAGTGGGCTTAAATTACACTGGATGCAGCTTGAGGATGGGTTGATGGGATCAAACTTTTCTGGAAGGGAGCTAAGTTTTGTGATAGTGGGAGGAGAGAATTGGCAGTGCCATGTCTAATGGCCAACAATGGAAGCCCAGCATTAGTTCTGCAGATTTTTATCTGCAGCATTGGGCCAACCAGTGTTAAGGAAAACATTTCCGGGACTGTTGACAAGTCTTATTTGATATTTTCCTGTATTTAAAAGCTTAATTTTTCTCTTTTTAAAATCTAGAAAGCGAAAAATCACCATATAAGAAACAAAATGAGATTTTAAAAACTCTGAAATGAAAGTAACAAATAATCAAACTACAGGTAGTCCCCGGGTTAGAAACATCTGACTTAGAAATGACTCATAGTTGAGAACGGGGCTGAGACAACAGGAAGTGGGAGAAATCTATCTCTCAGAAAGGAAATTCACACCTAGAAGAGTTAACATGGGGGAAAGGGGTCTCCACTGAAGCTTTCTCACCAATTCTTATTTCCAAACCAAGCCTATTTTTTTCAAAATCCAATTATCACAGGAACAGAAAGTAAAGTGAAATCTTCTGAACAGGGGCATAGACAGCAAAACTAACACCACAGGGGTGTTAACCCTTCCACATGCAATTCACAGCTAAAGAAAATATTCTTTTGGCTGGAGTTACACTTAAAAATGTACCTGTTTTGACTTCCATGAAAATTTAAGTTAAGAACAAACCTACAGAACCAATTTTGTTCATGACTTGGGGACTGCATGTGCTATGCAACTTCTTAAAAATACAGCAATTCCTTTCTGCATATGCAAATTTGTGAATGCACGGATAAATACAGATACCTACAAAGTACTTTAATCTGAAGAATCATCAGCTGATCATGTGAGGACTTCCACTTACTCCTACCTCTGCCACCAATGTGTGGATTTTCTCCTGTCCCAACTGCTATGGCTATCAATTGTGTTGACCTCTTGGATGTTATTGTGATTCCGATATATCGTCTTATATCCCCACAGGACATTAGTACCTTTGATTAGCTGATGCACCACAGACACCAGTGAATTAAAGTCTATTCTTGATAAAACTCCCTCACAACCCTGATCAACTGTCCTATATCAGAATTTTAAAAAAATCCTTAGATATTCCATCTGCCACCACTCACTCCCAATATTCCATTCTCTCACTCCTTCCTATGGATCTTTATCTTATTTCATAGAATCACAGAATGATAGAATCATAAAAGTTGGAAGAGATCACAAACGGCATCCCATCCAACCCCCTGCCATGCAGAAATACAGAAACAAAGCACCCCCGACAGATGAACATCTAGCCTCTGCTTGAAAACCTCCATAGAGAGAGACTCCACCACTTTCCGAGGCAGCATATTTCATTGCCAAACAGCTCTTAGCATCAGGAAGTTCTTCCTAATGTTTAGTGGTTTTGTTGATCCTGCAGGTGTTTTGGACTTCAGCTCTCGCCAATTTGGTCAACAATCAGGAACTCTGGGAGTTGAAGTTCAAACATCTGGATGACCAAAGTTTGGGAAGCATTGCATTATAGCATTTATTCATTGCATACATAACTATACTTTATCTTAATATGTCTAATAAGTGTTACAGCTACTCCAAAGTCCAGAATATCACAGAAAATATCAACACTAAGCAAATGTACATTTTCAATTTCCCACAAGTGGAATTAAAAAGCCAACTTACCAAATATGTGCTAGTAAGGCAGATGGTAGACCTGTCTTCAAGAATAATTCTCTAGCCTCCACACCAGAGACAAAACCATCCATGTCTTTGTCAGTTTTTAGGAAAATTTCATTGTATTTTATGATTTCTGTAGGTGAGACAACCCACTATGGAGAAAAGGCAATACACATGTTTTGCTTTCATTACATTTGATCAATTTGTAGAATAAAATGCTGTTCATTGCTAAGTGTACCTGCGTTGATGGTGTCTTGGATGGCAAGGGGCCTACAGGGGGTATGGACTGATGAGAGTCTTTGCTGGATGTTGAAGATGGCAACAACTGCAATGCACCTGGGATACTGACACTTTTCCTTTTGGAAGGTGGCACCAATGCTGGAGGCAAGGACATTGGCACAGGTTCTTTCTCAAGAGCACAATATACCAAGAACATGGCCTGAACGAATGTTTTTGAAAACAAAAGATGGAAAGATCATTTATTTATTATCAAGCAAGTGATATTATTATGTTTCATGCAACTAGAGAAGATAAGAATTCCAGTATCCTACACACCAACCTTTTATGTGTCTAAAATACTTCTCCCTACATAAAGTTTCATGCAGAAAAATAATTCAATTCAGAGGGAGTATCAATTTCACAAAATACCACATCTGAAAATAATAGAAACTTTACTGGTTGAAATTTAGGAGTAGGTAAATGTTTAATCATTCTTCCCCCCGGCGCCAACCCCTTTGAGTTATATACATAAATTTGGGGGCGGACTGTAAGAACACATATTTTCACCCACATTTTTTTTATTATTTAACTGTCTGCAGAGAGAATGAGAGGAACTGCACTCTATTAGAATAAATAATACCAAAATATGTTTGTCAAATTCCTGTCAGGAAAATTCAGACATGTTTTCTGAAACACAGTAAAAGATATATCCAACTCTAGCAAAATATTGTGAAATTGGGCTATATAACATTCATCTTAGATTGAAATGTAATATTTAGTTTCACTTTACTATTCAGACTTGTTTGCACAGGTTAAAATGATAGTGGAAAAAAGTTTGTTATACTCAGTTCTTTCTTTGCATCTTGAGTCGATTAAAACGGTTTTCAGTTAATTAGCTTAGCTAATTAATCAATTAAATATTACAATTCTAATCACAAGACAGATGTAGCCTCTTAGCATTGTTTCCCAAAATACACTCACCTTTCAGAGAGATATTTCAAACTTTACTTAGCTATTTTGTTTACTTTGGGTACAACTAGGATATATCATTCTACACTGACTGCCACACATTCCCTGAGAATCTTCATAGAGAGACTGATAGGCAAGATCAGGTAACCTTTGTTTAATGGATTTTTTTTAAGTTCACTGTAAATTTGGAGACAGTAAGCACCATCTTGGAAATGGAATGTAAGAGGTGTAATCTAAATATGTAGTACATAAAAGTTAAAAAGTACATTTTCTTCAAAATTATTGTAGCAATAGGTAAGTATATGTAGATATAACAAATTAATTCTTTTTTCTCATAATCTGTAACTCATATTTTCAGAAATCATCATCTCTTTTAGAATTTACATGGTCAAGACCTCTTAACAGTTCCTCCTCTTCCACAAAATAAATTGCTTGGTATGAGAAATCAAGATTAAATTAAAAAGAATGGTAGAAAAATGTATAAAACTGATCAGAATACACAAAGCATTTCACCTAGAAGAGTCGTAAAAAGTTTCCACAATAGATATGAAATTACTTGAACAAACTAGATGCTGAACTGTGCTAAGTCACTTCAGAAAGTTTGCAAGTTCTTCTTTCCACCAGATACATTTAGAAGTGCATTTTAAAGCAACCTGTTTCACAAACAGTCTGATAAAAAAGAGAAACACCTTTAGTGTGCATACTTTACGCTCCCTCTCAACAGTGTTGGAAGAGAGCACGTGGACTATCTAATCCAACCCCCTGCCATGTAGGAAAAGCACAATTAAAGCACCCTAACAGATGGCCATCCAGCCTCTGTGATCGTAGTTACTCTGATGGAATGAAATGAAGAACTAGAAAAACAGCAGGCTGGAGTAACAAAATATAAAATACAGGTTGATGAGAAAATTCAGCATCAATGTGCCAGGAAAAGAAGGGGTCCCTCTTTACCTCAATATATTCTGTTTTACAACAACCTCTGCAGATACTCTGCAGCTACAATGGAATCACTTCTACTTCCTATCTTCCCGCAGCAGAACTCTAATAAATTCTGGAGTTGTGACTACAGCATTGATTAAATTAAGGAAACAAACAGACTGGGAATAAGATGGCGAAGCATATGGGTCTCACGCTGCAGGATATATGGAGATAGGCTTTGCTTTTGCACTCTTCTAATCATCTGCATGCATGTTACTAATCAGTTAAGCTCGGGTTTCTAGATTTACACTACCTTGCAAAAAATATTGTTTACAGTTAGCTGGTCTATCTTATCCTTAACCTTAACTTCTATAAATACATTCAACATTTTGTAGCTGATAAAAACATAATTACTCACAACTGCAAATTCATCCCGATCCAACATTCCATCATGATCAATGTCACTTAGTTCCCAAACCTAACCAAAACATAAAAATATTCAGAAGAAACAGAATACTCCGCCCTTCTTACATCACAACAAAAATATCAATGACAGTCTTTATACGTTTTACTTTATGGAGAACAGTTTGTCAGTCAGTCAGTCACCTTTTTTTTTTGGTCAACAAACCATCGGCTAAGTCACGTGAAAGAAGAATAATGGAATACAACATTTAAGTAATTAATAACATCAAATTTGGCTTATGATTAATGAAAACAAGTATCACCATTCACTATCGGTTAAATGACTGTCTAAAGCAGGAACTGGTTGCCAATTTATAATAAGTCTCCTGAGTACTCTTTAGTTACACACTTAGGATTTACAGGTCATTCATGAAGCACTTGCGGCTTTTTGCAGCTGCAAAGAGATATTTGGCCACCTGTTCCGTTACCCTTTTGTCAAGATCAGACAGTAAATAAGTGCAGTACCAATTTAGGGTTCTTCCTAGCCACTTGGTGAGTAGAGGAGATATAAGCCTTTGTCTGTCATCCTTGTAAATTGTGCAAATAAAAAGTACATGTATTACAGTTTCAATTTTGCCCTCCCCGCAAGGGCAGGCCCTGTGTTCGTCATTCAAATCTTGTTTCTGACCTATCCTCAACCTACAATATCATGTTGACTTAAAGGAAAAAAATCCGTCTGTTTCAATGTCTTTATTTTTTCTCTTTCGGTTGTCGCAACAGATACTAAATGGTATTTATAATAATTCAAACAGCATCATCATAGTTCTGCCAGCTATATTATTAGAAATGTGCTACTCATCTGAAGACTCCAAGCAATACTCCAAGCAAAACTCTTGCAAGGAAGACTCCAGCAATACATGGAGCGAGAGTTGGCAGATGTTCAAGCTGGGTTTAGAAAAGGCAGAGGAACAAGAGACCAGATTGCCAATATCCGCTGGATAATGGATAATGGAGTTTCAGAAAAACATCTATTTCTGCTTCATTGACTATTCTAAAGCCTTTGACTGTGTGGATCATAATAAATTGTGGCAAGTTCTTGGTGGGATGGGCATACCAAGCCACCTTGTCTCTCTCCTGAGGAATCTGTACAAGGACCAAGTCGCAACAGTCAGAACTGACCACGGAACAACAGACTGGTTCAAGATTGGGAAAGGCGTACGGCAAGGCTGCATACTCTCACCCAACCTTTTTAACTTGTATGCAGAACACATCATGCGATGTGCGGGGCTTGATGAATGCAAAGCTGGGGTGAAAATTGCTGGAAGAAACATTAACAACCTCAGATATGCAGATGACACCACTCTGATGGCCAAAAGCGAGGAGGAGCTGAGGAGCCTTCTAATCAAGGTGAAAGAAGAAAGCGCAAAAGCTGGGTTGCAGCTAAACATCAAAAAAACCAAGATTATGGCATCAAGAATGATTGACAACTGGAAAATAGAGGGAGAAAATGTGGAGGCCGTGACAGACTTTGTATTTCTAGGCGCAAAGATTACTGCAGATGCAGACTGTGGCCAGGAAATCAGAAGACGCTTACTTCTTGGGAGGAGAGCAATGTCCAGTCTCGATAAAATAGTAAAGAGGAGAGACATCACACTGGCAACAAAGATCCGCATAGTCAAAGCCATGGTATTCCCTGTAGTAACCTACGGATGTGAGAGCTGGACCTTAGGGAAGGCTGAGCGAAGGAAGATCGATGCTTTTGAGCTGTGGTGTTGGAGGAAAGTTCTGAGAGTGCCTTGGACTGCGAGAAGATCCAACCAGTCCATCCTCCAGGAAATAAAGCCCGACTGCTCACTGGAGGGAAGGATACTAGAGACAAAGTTGAAGTACTTTGGCCACATCATGAGGAGACAGCAAAGCCTAGAGAAGACAATTATGCTAGGGAAAGTGGAAGGCAAAAGGAAGAGGGGCCGACCAAGGGCAAGATGGATGGATGGCATCCTTGAAGTGACTGGACTGACCTTGAAGGAGCTGGGGGTTGTGATGGCCGACAGGGAGCTCTGGCGTGGGTTGGTCCATGAGGTCACGAAGAGTCGAAGACGACTGAACGAATGAACAACAACACTCACCTGAATACCGAGGTGCATGCTATTAGGAGCAAGGGTGTCAAACTTATTTTCACTGAGGGGCACATTAGCCTTATGGTTGTTTGTAATGGAAAGACTGTATAAATGCAACTATGTTAGCTTGGCATTGAAGGTCTCGCAGGTCACATAAAATGACATGGCAGGCTGGATTCAGCCCACAGGCCTTATGTTTGACACAAGGGAGTTCCTTGAATACTTCCCCTTAGACCAGGTCTGCACAACCTATGGCCCTCCAGGCATTTGGGACTCCAACTCCCAGAAGCCTAGCCAGCTTGTCCAATGGTCATGAATTCTGGCAGTTGAAGTCAAAACAGCTGGAGGGCCACAGGTGATGATGAGCTGTTCCCTTCTTTGTTCAGACTGCAGTTCAACACTATTATTTTTCACTCAAAAAGGACTGAAGGGAGAGTCCTATGTATCTTTGCATCATAATATGGAAACTGGCCTGCTGTCCTTGCTGAGTCTACTGGCAGAAGGAGTGATGCTTTAGTTGATTTTGGTGTAGAAGAGAAACTTCTTTGCTGCACAGATGAGGAATAATTGATATCAAGCAGACTCCAATTGCAAGAAGTGTCCACAGTTAGTGGAAAATAGTTTGCCCAGGCATTTTTTTAATCCCACGCCTAGTCCTTTAATGGTTTAATTGGAATACAGTATTGCTTTTTCTCCTTTACTTTACTGAAATTAATAGATTTCAACACCAAAATATTGTAAACTGCTTTATTTTAGTATATACATAAAATATTCTAAGCAAGATTTTTCAGTTGGAATAAGCAAGATTTTTCAGTTGGAGATTTCAGTCATTTAGGTCTTGCATAGAAACCTTCCAGTGAGGACGGCAGAGGATTAAGCACATCTTTAGCAGATCCTCCATCTAAGCTTCGTTACAAGACATCTACAGAATCACACAATATATATGTTTCTGCATTCTTGTGAAGCCTGCTGTTCTTACCCTTCCCAAGACATCAACTGGTAGTTTGGAGTTTAGCAGAACAGGTTTCACTTTATCACCTGACAACAATCCATTCACTGGGACCAGGCTGTCAAAGATAGCATCATACTTGGCCTTGTCTTCTACCTGGTTGTAGAAAAAAATATTAAGGCAAAGTATGTAATTAAGAATACTGCTAAAAGCAAATATGACACCCAAAAACATACACATCACCACAGTGCCATGAATAAGCAACTTCTGGAAAATCCACCTGGCAGTCAGTGTAATGGAAAGTATGGAAAGGCAATAAGTCTGGAGTTAAGTCTGGAGGCGCAAAAACCACAAGCATAAATATACTGCAGTGTGAGAGCAGAGAGATAAGATGGCAAGGCCATAAAAGGGCTATCATTCTCAATAAAAGAGATGTTTTTCTGGATCTTAGAGTAGTCAGGAAGTCAATGTAAGGATTTAAGAAGATAAATGAATTTAATTGTTTGGGCAGTAAGGCACTGATGAATGGCAAAGGAGAAAGATGTCACAACAGGAAATAAGAAAATAAAATGCTGAAATTGTAAAGTTGGGGGAAGGGAACAACATGAATAAGAACTTTTACAGGAATAGCAATGTTTTCCTCAATTTTGTCCAGCAGTAAGTGATACAATCTATTATTCACAGGCCATCAGCACATGCTTTCCTAAATACGGTATTCTAGCTAAACAAAAAACAAAAAATGACATAAATATCTGACAACTGCACAAAACAAGAAAGCTACACCCACACCTTTTTCAAAAATATGACCAAATTATCCAAGATATGAAAAGTCAATGTGCTTTCTGTGTCCATCAGCAATCACTGAGTCAAAACTAACTACCACAAAGATGGAGAAGCTGGTTATTTTTCTTAAAATGGGCAATGCAAAGAGAGGTCCCGCCTCACTACAAAGCAGTTTAGTACAGTTATCTAGAGAATGATCCCAGAAAACATTCAGGTTAGCAAATGTTTCAATTCACTTACCTTAACAGCCCATGGGATATCAGCTGGAACTCCCCCAGACAGTAAAGGACTACTGGACTCATTCTGGTGAAAAGAGGATTTTAAAAATCTATTGAATTCTACTTTATAGCTTGTTGATTGCTCCCAATTCTGGTTATATTTAAATTAATTATCAATTCCTGTCACATAATGAAAAGAGTACATCCAAATGGTATCATCAACCTTTTCTAAAACAGTTCATACTTGCTGTAAACCAAGTAATCTTAGCTTACGTCTGAAGTCACCTTACAAAAGCCTATGATTAATACTTTGTAATTTTAGCCAAAATTAATCTAATAGCAGATTGCCTTTGGGGGAGAAAAACAGGATGTAAATTAAATTGCTGTTGGTTTTCAAAGAACAGATAGAGAAATATGAATTGAGGGTGGGAGAGAAAGCTCCTCGAGTCCCTCTCCTACCCATTTCCTTATGAGTATAGAAAGGCCCTTACAATTGCAGGTTTTAAACCAATTCATGCAAATTAAAAAAAAAATTAGGGTATGAAACCAGGACATGAAATCAGTACATTACACATACATATGCATAAGAACAAACTATATGATAGGTTAGACTACACATCTACTTATGCAAAAGTCAAAATATGTATGTATGTTGGTTGGATTACACTACAAAGGCTCCTACATGGCTTGATGGATCTGGACCAAACTTAGCACACATACCCTTCATTACCTAACATAAATAACTGCGTAGTTTCAATTATAACATCCACTGCATTTGGGGGAGAGGATTAAAAAACCAAAAAAAGATAGTATACAGATAGAAACAATTAACTACTGACCTACAGATATGCATATGTGCAGCACTTAGATGCAAATGCAAAAGGACACTATTATAGAAAGAAAGGATTAGCAACTGGTAGACAAAACGGCCACACAATGAGGTCTACAACACAGGCCTGAAGGCCACAGTCGGGATATCTACCTCAAAAGGAAGTAAGGAATTTAATGCAGATTTATATTCTGGAAGGTGTGTATTAGTTTGCCTGTGCCTTGCTCTGAGGCAGAGAGACTGTGATTTCCAAGAAAAGTCCAATGAAAAAAAGACAAAGGAAAGGAAAAGTATGAGAGAAAGAAAGAAAGAAAAATAAGAGAAGAGAAAGGAAGGAAGGGGGAAAGGAATGAAAAAAATGGAGAAAAGAAAGAAAAAGGGATGGGAAAGGAAAGGAAGGAAGGAGGAAAGTGTATAAGGGAAAGCAATGGAGGAAGGAAAGAAAGGAAGGAAAGAGTGGGGAACAAGGCTAATGATGGAAGGGAAAGAAGACAAGAAAGAGCCATAAAGAAAATGCAAACCCAAGCAATGTCGCTTATTCATGCGAGGGTCCTTCCACACAGCCATCTGACCCAGAATATCAAGGCAGAAAATCCCACAATATTTGCTTTGAACTGGGTTATGTGGCAGTGTGGACTCAGATAACTCAGTTCAAAGCAGATATTGTGGGATTTTCTGCCTTGATATTCTGGGTTATATGGCTGTTTGGAAGGGCTCTGAGTCTTCAATACATGCACAGAGGTAAGATTTGATGGCACATGTGTATTACTCCAAGGGTTACTAGGCATTTTGTTGTGTTTGTCCTGGTCTTGTAATGCTAATATAATTATTTGCATTAGTTATGGGATGTTAGTTTATTACCAAATATTTATTTATAATACTGTGGATGCATATGAAAACATTATATTGTGTTAGTAAAATTCACATTTGAATAGGGAATCTCTAATGCTATCACCAATTTATTTATTTATTTACTGTGTCAGAAGTGAATTGAGAATACAGTAATAATGTATAAAAAGCCCACACTTTGCTAAATATCAACATGTGTTTCTCTCTCTCACACACACACGAAGAAAAAGGAATACAATTTACCACAGGCTCCAACTAAAATCTTCATCACAACACTGTACATTAATTCACTCATGTTAAAACAAATGAAGGGGGCAATCCGGATATGGTTATTGAGCAAGAATACTATGCAACTTCATCAACAACTTTGTGCTATACGTAAACTAAGTATTTTTTTTAATGTCTTACAAATCTAGGTGGAGGAACAGGCAAATTAAGGCTGCTCAACGAAACATCCAATCCATTTTGCGCACAGGCCACAAGCCGTAATGCTACAAAAAATTCCTACAGAAAAAGAAAATAAAACCATTTTACTCTCAGAAAAGCACATCAAATGAATAGGAACATTTTAATCTGGTGTATTCCTCTTACACATTTTATATATTTAATGCAGACTTTTTAGATGTACTGTATTTTTAAGAAATATGTATTTTTAAAGAAATTCCAGTGTTACAAAGCAATTTGACATAGTTCTCTAAACAGTCCTGAAAATGCATAATTGTTCAGCAGCAAGGAAAGAACACACACAAAGCTAATAAAACCTAAGGGACATTATGTCTTATTTATGCATTCTAATTGCACGAGAAGTACTGCATATTTTCCAAAAGGTAAAGCTAGGAGGGTTTTAAAAATGCGTGATGCAACTTTTTCTACATGAAGCCTCTCCTTTATTTTATTTATTTATTTATTTATTTATTTATTTACTTTATTTCTATACCGCTTTTCTCAGCCCTCAGGCGACTCAAAGCGGTGAACAACATCAGTACAAAATATCACAAAACAAGTATAGGGCAATTAAAAACAATTATCACATAAATCATTAACATCAGTATAACAATCATTAGCGCCTCAACAGTAAAATCAGAATCCAGTCTCGTCATTCATTATTCCGTATTCCTATGTTCAATTACACTGTTTAATCAAATGCTTGTTCGAACAGCCAGGTCTTCACTTTCCTCCAAAACGCCAGCAGGGAGGGGGCCAATCTGATATCTGCAGGCAGGGTGTTCCACAGCCGAGGGGCCACCACTGAGAAGGCCCTGTCTCTCGTCCCCGCCAAGCGCGCCTGTGATGCAGATATTAAACTTTGAAGATATTAAACTACATCTACAAGATTGCTTGTCCTGTGGCTTAAGTATTCTCAACTGTCCAAGATGCTAAATGCACTCCTTCCCAAACTGTGCTCTCAAAATTTCTAATTGGTTTCTCTTCTATTAGCAGGTAAATATATTTCCAAATTGTATTAAGAAAAGATTCCACATCAAGAAAATATTTTCTATGAATCTATTTTCTATAAAATTATTTCATCAAACAAATCAGAATAATCAGAATTCAAAGCATTTTAATATTCTACATCAATATGTGAAGGAATCTTATAGCACCTTTGTGATTACAGAAACAAGTTGGTAGCATACTTTCACATACTTAAGTCTACTTCATCAGATGCATGGAGTGAAGTGCCTAAGAACAGACATTGTCCCCAGGAGTAATCTATTACAGAACAGACTGAAGACAGGAAATGACAGAATCCCATCAGTGGCCATATATTGCTCTCAACTAAGACTACTCAAACATTAAATCAATGAACTGCAACCTATTCTGGACAATAGCATTGTCTTCTCAGAGGCTCATGGTGGCAGGTCTTTACTTGCCTACTTTACAGCCTTATAATCACCAATGGTTACTTATCTACAGGAGGATACACACCAGAGATGAAGAGACAAGTATAAGATGCCAACTCTGCCCAAACGCCTACTCAGAAATTGTCATCACAGGACGTGATCACATCAACCACAGTATTAGCAGTACTTTCACTTGCTCACTCTCTAATGTGATATTTGCCATCCTACGTCAACAATCCCCTTCAGCACTGTGCATTTGACAAACAGACCAGTCTCTGTGCCAGTAGATTAATGGATATAAACCAGATTTTAGAAATAGGCATACGCATTAAAAAAAAAAGTTGAAAAACACTTTGATCTTCCTGGGCATTTCATGTCAGACCTCAAAACAAAAGTCCTTGAATAAAAATACTACAAATGAAGTTTACAAAGTGAAACAACAGAAAAGGAATATATCAACAAACTCCAGTCCATTGACAATGGGTTGAACACAGAAAATGGTTTCTCAGCACACTACACATATTACAACACTAGTAACACCCCTAGCCCCATGAGGGTTCTCTTTGCTAATTTAGCATGTTTTTCTAGTTTAATTATTTATGTTTAATGTTTGCAATATTAGATGTAAATTAACTGATTGCTGTATTGTCAAAGGCTTTCATGGCCAGAATCACTGGGTTGTTGTAGGTTTTTTCGGGCTATATGGCCATGTTCTAGAGGCATTCTCTCCTGACGTTTCGCCTGCATCTATGGCAAGCATCCTTAGACGTAGTGAGGTCTGATTGCTTTATGTTTTTATTTATGTATTGGATCTGGCATTGAATGTTTATCTTTTGTTGTAATCCACCCTGAGTCCCCTTGGGGAGAGAGGGCTGACTATAAACAAAGTGTTGTTGTTGTTGTTGTTGTTCCCAGCCAGCATCACACTACATTCCAATAACTTTATCTACAATTCTTATGGCCTTCTATACATCTTGGAGTAATGAACATATTTTTTTCCTGTCTTTGTCCCCAGACGACCATCAGTGTCATCTCAACACCATATCCACAGGTTTTGCAATTCTATTGCAATTCACATATACAACCTGCTCATTCATAACAATAAAGGCACATCCTGGCACTTCGCTCTATACATCTGATAATGCAAATCTACAAAAATGTATGCTACTAACTTCTTTCTCTCAGTTAACCTCAAAGATGCATACAGATGTTTCAGTCTATTATGAAGAGAAAGAGGAGATATTTGTCACAATCAGAAGAGATTACATAATTATTTCCAGCAACATCTTTTATCAACATTATGAAACTGTTACAGATCTCATATGGAAATCTGGCAGAGATTCGAAAAGAGCTTGATGCTAATGAGGAATAAGAAGTTGGATAAGAAGAATGATCTACTTCCTGACTATATTTTGCTCACTTTCCTTCCTACAAGAAGGAAAAACTGTTCTCATCTTCATCTCTCTGTCTTATCAATACCATGCCCTTACCTCAGGAACCATGAGAAACAATACAATGGGGAAAGCCCCATGTTTTCAGACTCCTGCAAATATATACACGTACTATAAACACAGCTATTTCTGGAATCACTGATGGCAAGATGAGAGGCAGCAAACATGTTATCTTACCAGGCCATTAATACAAAATGTAGAGGCTCAGTGCTACTGACAAGACTAAGATGAAGCCCATATTAACTCAACATATGTTCCAAAAAGGTTCTTTTATATCATTGATATTCCTTGACAATATTAAAAGGTTCACACTTTTACCTGTTTGTTTAAGACACCTTTTCCATCTGTGTCAGCAAGGTCCCAAACCTAAACACAATTGAACAAAGAAAACATGCGAAACAGCATCAGTCTTTAGTTTTGACTAAAGAAGAAGCAATTTTGTTGCAGCTCAAAACTAACCACCAACAAAGCACAATGTTACAAATCTGGGTATCAAGGCCCCCCATTGCCCCTCACTATTGGCCTGACTGGATGGCAGAAACAGGAAATGGAGGCCAACAACACATGGAGGGTTACAGTTTCTTCACTCATAACACATAAAATATGTATATATATATAATCCATCGGGGTATTCATTCGCCCTCAGTATATCACCCAATCTAAACTGTGCGTTTCCTTCCTGGATTTACGGACATTATGAAATCGTGTATTTGAAAACATACTAGATTACTGTCTTAAGGAACTAAAATATGTTCAGGTACCTGGCCAAATCACAGCGAAACCATCCACCAGTGAGCTAAGTATACTTAAGGACATTTCTCCCAACTGTCCCTAAACTCTTCAGGATATTAGAGAGCATGATGTTTTCTTGAAGAGAGCGGAACAGACCGTCTTAAATGAGGAACAAACGGGGGCAAACACAGGAAACAGACACTTGGAGTAATGTGTAGAAGGCCACAGATCATTCTGTGAATTTGAAACTACCAAACCAAGTCAAAGTTCTCTCTCTTATCAGTGATGATGAGCAACAGTTTCAGTCCTCGAGAACATGGAGGTGACGTTAGAAGATTCAGCCTGTAAAATGACTGTACTAGGTAGTAAAATGTGGGATATACAATGCTATTAGGTGGATTTGTAATTCACTCACTGACCAAATCCAAGGGGATGCTCACCACTGACTCCTCTTCACCCGGATAAAAGTGACTACTGGGGTGTCACTGGGTTATGTCCTATTCAACATCTTTATCAATGACTTGGGTGAAGGTTTAGAGGGCATCACATTTGCTGACAACACCAAATCATTAGCGGTAAGTAATATTCCAGAGGACAGGATGTGAATTCAAAATTACCATAACAGTAGTGTGATTGAGAAAAATAACAAAATGAATATCAACAAGGAGAAATGCAAAGTACTATGCTTAAGTAGAAAATTTTTTCGAACACGTTAACCAAAGTGCTGAAACTATTTTAGGGATAGGCTTCAGGATTTAACAGAATTCTTCAAAATGCTGAAAAGCTGCCTGATACCACTGATGGCGAGTTACACCATTTTAATTCTTAACAAACCCAATGCATAATGATTTGCCCTCTTACTTGACACAAAGCAATACCTTCCCAAGTATCAAATCCGTCAGTCCTGATTTCTTCAGAAAGACTGCTGCATCAGAGGCCAAAACCCTTCCAGAATTACTAGGATCAACCTGTCAAAGAAAGTGACATGACTGATGATGTATTCCAAACCAAGTCTTGAATAAGCTACAAGATAACTTCAAAGGATGATTAAGGCTTACGCTATTTTCAACAGATTTTTTTGCTTATTAACAAATATGTAAATAATATATGAAGTATAAAAAACAGAATTGTTTCTCATACTTCATATATGTACCTAGAACCGTGGGCTTGTTTAAAATTAATTAAAAATATCAATGGCCTGTAGCAGAATTATTTCAATACTGTAAACAATGGAATAAAGATTTATTCCCCTGGACGAGTAAGGTCTGCAGCCTTTTGGGCATTTCTTCAATATGCTTTGTTGTTTGATTCCAAGGAATCATTAGCAACATCAATTTCATAACATAAATAGGCAAAAGAGCTTCCATTCTTACACACACGCACACACACACGCACACGCACACACATTCATCTAGTAGGAAATGAATGAACAACACACATCCAGCACAAATCTCAATTCTTTGGTTGCCCCATACAATGTCGAACTCACCAGCCGACTGCCAATTACATGATGATATAACTTTGCTGCCACCAATCTAAATGTATTGGTCTACGACTACACCATTCACTCTTCCCTGTCCCACCGACCACCGGAGTCAGTCCACAGAGCCACTCAAAAATGGAGGGGAACTCCGACTTACTGAGTAATGGCTGCCATCCAGATAGACCCCCTTCTTATATTGAGGCACAGAAAGACACACTAAATATTTGTGATGAAACATAAACAGATTTGTGACGTTTATTTGAACTAGAACAGGAAGGCTTCGCAGATATTAGGAGAGGTTCAGACACTTAGTGGTTTCGGAAGATTATCAAGCTGTTTCCTTAAAAGAAAATGGTTCCTTAACTTGTCTTCCGCAGAACTATGTTCACTCACAGGTGAACTAACTGGGCTTTTCAAAACCCCTCAGTCCTCCCATCCACCACTCTGTCCCTTAGAGGCTCTCTAAAAATGTAGCACTTCTCCCCAGAGGCTATTTTTAACCCCCCCCCCCCACTTCACCGATGTTTTTGCCTCCAATTTTCAAACACTTCTCTTCTCCTCAGACTTCTCCTAGTCCCCAGATTACCACTCTCACTGGCGCCCTCTACCTTCTGTAGCTAGGCAACACTAACTCCCCCATCAATCAGACATCACTATGGACTGTTCCCTCCTCCTTTAGCTTTGATCGGGTCTTTTCCTACACACTAGCCTGGCAAGGTAGGCCCATTCCATTACATCCCGCATCTACATCATAACAACTAAGCTAATAAAAAGCTACAAGTTGTGTAAAATAATATAGTCCATTTTAGGATATGTATGTATGTATGTATTTATTTATTTTGGGCTTTTATATCCCGTCCTATCTCAACCTCCGCAGAGGGACTTGGGACGGCTAACAAATCAGCACCCACATCAAAAAACATAAATATATAATTTAACAGGAATGTAATAATAACAATATAAAACAGTATAAAACAGTATAAACCAGTATAAAGCAGTATAAAAACAATCAAGCAGTCAGCGGTCACCAGTTTAAATCATCATCCAAGGGCAGTCCATCAGTTCTATATAAGTTGTCACGTCAGCAAGTCACCAAGCCAGCCTAATCTACAAAGGCCTGATCCCATAGCCAGGATTTTACTTGTTTCCGGAAGGTCAAGAGGGATGCAACAGCTCTACTTTCACTTGGGAGGGAGTTCCCTAGCCGGGGGGCCACCACAGAAAAGGCCTGTCCTTTGTCCCCACCAGACACAATTGCGACAATGGAAGAACAATGAGCAGGGTCTCCCCAGATGATGTTAAGGCCCTAGATGGATCGTAGCGGGAGATACATTCGGACAAGTAAACTGGGCCAGAACCGTTCAGGGCTTTATAGGCCAATGCCAGCACTTTGAATTGTGCTCGGAAGCTGATAGGCAGCCAGTGGATACAGCATGTAACTAGAACCACATTTATCCAATTTTCAGCTCACTGCTTGCCCCCAGTCCAAATCCAAGTACCAGGATTTATCACCTTAAAATGGTTTTGTAACATCCCTCCCTCCATGTATTTTGCCATGCCATAGTCACACGGAAACATGGAGAATTTTTTTTTTCATCTTCTATCTTTTACACGAGTAAAACATCACCATATGATTTGCTACTTCATTACTTAGCAGGAATAGGACAAATCACAGTCAGGAGAGGTGGGGAGTGAATACTGTTTGTGCTGTTAAACTGGATGTTTGGATTTTGATTTTTTTTATATACTGAATGCAGCTGTTATATTACTTGCCCTTTAGTACTTTTAAATTTAACTGTATGCTACATTAGGGTAATCTAGTAAGAGTGTAAGTGCATACTTAAACTGAAGCATAAAGCCTGTTTCCCTTTTCCAAGAGGAAATAATTACCATTTGTTATTTCTTTTGTTTACTTGCTACATTATATTGTCTCTATGCCACACCACTGAAGGAGTTCACAGTTTTGAATGACTTACTATCTTGTAGGGTAGAGATAGGGTGGCATATTTTTTACAGTCTTAAGCAAACTAACTTTAGATTTGAAGGAGTGCAGCATTAATTTCACTTCCTCCCAAGATGTAAATATGTTAAGGCTTTGGCTACCTCACTATTAGTAACAGGGAAACTTCAAAGCCACAAATGCAGTCTACAGATACAATTCTCCTAACAGATCAACCAACTCCAATCTTTGGCTGAATCAAGAGGAATATATTCATTTGGGATGATGAAAAAGATATTGACATTTATAAATTCAGTAAATAGTTTTACTGAAGTGAGCAGTTTCATAGTTGAAGCTATCAGGGCTTATATACAGACATCTGTTAGTTTGGTCAAAAACTATAATTGTACATGAGATCAAAAATGGATGCAACCAACCACTAGCTCAGCATAATAACATCCAGGCTGTATTAAAAGGAAATCACCAGTTATCAAATTCCCCTCTATGCTATACTACTCAATACTATACTTCCTCTGCAAGTACTTTCCATTAATTACTACTAATCACCAATATTCTGAAACAATCTAATTGATATCTGAAACTTAACAAGGACAGAAGTTTCATTTCAAAGAAAACTAAAAATGTGTAATATTTAGGAAAGCAGTGGAGTCTCATTTAGTTTCACAGCTAAATGAAAGTACACTTCCATTCTACCAAAGCAGCATTGACTATAGACTGCCAAAAGTAAAAAGTGACCTAGATTCAGTGCTTGTCATGTAGTGATGGAGGCTATAGAAATGTCTGAACACTGCACTGAAAAGAACTCAGAACAAACTTCTTCCCTTTATTATGGTTCTAGTGGACACCATAGTATTCAAGTCAAAGAGGCTTTTTCATTATAATAATTACATTATGATGATTATGTCAAATTTTAGAAACTGCCCATACCAGCAGGCATAAAGCAACATCAGTGCAGCTAAACTATGCATTCAAAGCAAAGTCTTAAGCTATTGATAGAACTTTTATTCAATTCACTTCAACAAGGAGTCATTATGATGCAACACAGCACATTCTTCTTATATTGGAATAAATAAATTAGTGTTTGGGGCAAGAGGTTGATTAAATGGAACAGTCAGCATTTGCAATTGCAGTCTCAGGACAAGAATTATGGGTTTGCGTTGGTAAAAGTAATTATTTGTTTTAGAAATTAATGCTATCACCAAAACCCAACTCTTAAATGGGTAAAATTATACTCCCCAAAGTAACTTTGCAGTTTAAATATTTACTTTACTCTATAGCCTAACAACAAGAAAGGAGCCATTTTTCATCAAATGGGGACTACCTACGAATAAGCAAGCAATATGTCACATAAATATAAACATATAGGAAGGTAACCACACTCACCTGACGATAGTACTTCTCATATACAGGATTTGCACTTGATAGCTGCAATGACAAAAAATATATAAAAACAGTAATTAAATTATAATTAAAAATGCAAGAGATGTGTTAGGTTTTTCCACCATTGTCAAAAATTAGAAATGCAAAACTGGAATTGAATGAATATTCAGAAACAGGACATATGAAATTAACTGAAATATATTTGAAAGTGGCAAGAGTTTCCTCTTCAGAGGAAGCCACTAGTGTTACAATGAAACATGATCTTCATTTTATCTTCATTTATATTCTGGTTTTCCCTTAAAAAAATAACCCCAGGAGGCTTACAAAAATTAGCACAAGTATAGTTCAAATAACTTACCATGACACAGGTAAAACATACAAAAAGTTATTGTTCACATTCAATTAAACTATTTGTAGTATGTCTCCTATTAACTGCAAAGAGATTCACAAATATATTGTGTATTAACTTTTATAGTCTTGTCCATGAGAGTTTTAGTCATGCTATATGTATGAATCCAAAACACCACTGGGCTGTTCCTGCTAGAAAAGAGTTCTCTGGAATTTGCACATAAGGTTTAGTTCTTTATTTTAAACCATGTAATTATTGTGATGCTGCTGAATGCAGGCCTTAGATAAAACCAATCAATGCTCTAACATAGAATTAGAGTAAACAGGGTTGTCATTCATTAAGAGAGACTGAGTTTGAGGCTATTTTTTCCTACTCCATTTCAATGAATCTTATACAGAAAATTCCCCAATAGACTTTTCTATTGAACCCATGGTTTTTGTCTCTCAATCACTAAGAAGTCAAGTTCCTAACCATTTACAAGGTATTTGTAAAAGTTGTTAGACCTAATTCCTGTAAGATCCTCATGAAAAAATGAAGTCATACATATCCAGGTCATGAACAGCACAGGCTAAAATTGGCAACTCTGGCGGAAAAAGTCAGCTTAGAGGACTTACTAAGGAGCACTGGATCTCAGTCCTTCCAACTATTTTGAACTTCAACTCCCTCAATCTTTTGTAATTGACAATTTTGTATGAGGCTGATGGGAAGTATAGGCCAAAGTATCTGGAGGGCCAAAAATCCCTTGTTTGTGTGTTAAGTAATGGCATTAACCCCTACAACTTTGACATAAAATCACTCTTGTCAAAATGATCCAGCCAGCCATTCCAGAAAATTAATTTATAGTATTGTACTATTTAATTGCACAAAATCCTATGCATAGTTACTCAGAAGCTTCACAGCTTTTAATGAAGTATACTTCTGAATAAGGATCTTGTTATATGAACTGCTTTTGCTAGATATAAAATAAAATAGTAATAGGATATAGAATTATTAACTACATTCTTTTAAAATATATATAGATATCTACAGGAGACAAAAGTTGTTTCTCTCAGGAAACTACCTTCCTGCAGTGTTCCTCACAAACAGTATATGATTTGGCCTACTTGGATTCCTGCAATTTTTCTGTTCTTACAGGTAGTTCTGGCATATGACTCATTTCATAGTCAATTTGAAGGTAAAGCCAGCTGGTATACCAAGGATGAAGAATTTGTGGACTTTCTAGGGATTGTTAGGCTATACCCTCCACCATCTTTGAACGTTGGTCATGTTGATTAGAGCTGATAGAAGATGAAGTCCAACAACTTATGAAAGGTCACAGGTTTCCCATCCTTATTATATACCAACAGATTAATGACTTATTACCAGGTTTACAGTAGGACAGTGATCTATACAGATATGCCATTCCAGAAAACTAGAATTTAAAGTTCATAGACCTGTGGCACGATAGCAACAGCCCGACTTCAAATGATTCTATGGTCATTGTTAGAGTCTAAATACATAATGCTAAATTTAGAAAATATAATTCATGACAACTTGGAGCTGCTACTCTAAGATGAAATTACATTATTCAGTGTTGCCAAGATTATTAAAACTGCCAAGATTATTGCATTATATTATTATGTTATAAGATTGCCAAGATTATTAATAATTTCAACCAGCAATTTAAATACCAATAGTCAAAAATATCAAGGAGAAGCAATTTTGTTAAAACATTGCTGCCATTCAGAACCATTACATTTATGTTCTCCACTCTGTCTCTAACCTAATAGAGCAATTAATAATCTCGCATCTTGACTCAATGATCATCTGCATCAGCAGTGTCTAGATTGAAGGAAATAACAGTGCTTCTATATTCTACTTTTGTTCTGGGCACCACAATTTGGGAAAGATATTGACAAACTGGACAGGGTCTGGAGGAAGGTGACCAAAGCAGTCAATATTTTGGAATCTTGGAGAAGAGAAGGCTAAGAAGGAAAATGTTTAAATATTTGAAATGATTTCATATGGAAAATTGAGCTGGTTTGTTTTCTGCTATTCTACACAACAGGACATGGGGCAATGGATTCGAACTACAGGAAAAGTGATTTCTCCCTGAATAGTAGAAATAACTTCCTGATTGTAAGAACTGTTGGACAGTGGGATATAACGATAAGAATAAATTTTATTTATATCCCAACCCCTCTCCCCAAAGGGACTCACGACGGCTCACAACAATATGCTGCCTCTGAGTGTGGTTGATATTCTTTAGAGGTTTTTAAACAAGAGCGGGTGCACATCTGTCAGGAGTGCTTTGATTGAATGTCCTGCTAGGAGGGACATTCTTGTGGTCTCTTCCAATTCTATGATACCAAAATAATTTTATAAGCAAAGTATTAGTAAGCCAAAACTGAGCTTGGGCCTAGAACAGCCAGAATTCCTCAGTCAGTTAACATTTTAGCCTGAGGGATTCTGAAAATTATAAACCAAAAATATTTCTTCCAAGCTATGTACCAAACTTGCTGTTACTTTTTGAACAAAAACACATTGTGGCTCACATTCTGCACAAACACAGCTTTAAAATTCCAAAGCAGTATCTCCATTTGGCTAATATGAAAGATCAGTAGAATTATTTCCTTTTTAACATCTGAACAACAAATGCTAGTCACGTTTTCTAAGCAATAGAAAAGCTTGGAAGATCTTCGACCATCTGTTTTCACTGGCAAGTGACCCATTTTATGATAAAAACCAAACTAGGCATCAGGACAATTAGTAAATTTCTCCTATGCTTTTTGTCATGATGAAGACAGAAGAATTGAAATACCTATGTTAATTCTGTAATGTATGTGTAATAAAAGTTACAGCTAACAGATAAATAACATATTGAAGCTAGTAATTACTTTAAGGCAAAAGCATGGGTTACTGAAAGCAGTCTGTGAAAGATTATTCGTGTCATAATGAAGATTCTTGTTTCCTACTTTAGGCTTCCATTAGTGCTTTCAGAGACTCCAGAGAACTTCTAGCAGTGTCATAATTCAGACTGAAAGACCATATAAAAGACTACAGACCCACCTAAAAACTGTATTTGGAGGTCTGCTAAGTTAGTCTGCCTACCCAGATCCTCTAAATCCAATGAAAGTGAATCACTTGAACGCACATCCATCCACAGCAGTTCACATACCAAGGCCCCTTTACTCACTTGGCTAGTCACCTCTCAATGAGATTGAACGCTTCCACAGAGATCATTCCACTGTCTTATTACAGTACTTACATACTCCTTGCTCAAAGCATAGGAGCAAAGCCAAATCCACTCACTTCCAAGGCTAAAGTACTTGGCAATCATGAACTTGCCTTTTAACAAGTGTCCAGTCCAAGCATCTCTTTAAAATGTTATACAGTGCCAGGCCCCAGCTACAAATGCCATTTACCAATCTTTTAAAAACAAAGAATCTTCTTCCAATTAAATTTTGAAAGACATATGAGGGAATGACTTCTGCTAAACAAAGTGTAACCTCTTTAAATTCTCTTTGATATTCATTTTTTGTGTTTTCCCTGCAATGTCATTTTCTTTTAGTAATGAAATTCCTCTTTGGGAAGTTTTTGTCTCCAAAGCCAGCACAGCTTTGTCAAGCATCAGATAGAATTGATATCTGCCATCCTCACTAACACAATTTATTCAAAATGTTAAAACTTTATTTCCTGTAATGTTTCTTTAAAAGAAAAACCCCATTGCTAATCATCCTCTGTGACTAACTGAACCAATGAGTGAGTACCTCATGTTCCTTTCAACACTTTTTAAGAACTATAAAATGTCAATGAAGATCTATGCTGATACACAAGACTAAAACAACAGCAACAAATTAATACAGAAGTTAGTCTTTTATGTTACTTTTAGCATATAATTAGTAACATAAGAGCAATTTAGAAATATTACAAATGAATAATTTAAACTCTAGTCTATATTACAAAACAATAAAAAGAAAGAAAGTTTTTATAGCCACTCCTAGAAATCTTTCATAACTGGACTCTCTATTTTAACTTTCAAATAGAAAATCAAATCAAATATAATTGGCTCTGTATTTCTAGTATCTCAGATGCCTTCCCAATTTTGCATGTCTCCCATTACAATGCAAAATTAAGGTCACATGGGTGAAATACAAAAGAATGGAATGATCAATTTTAGATTTTGATATATTTGTGTATTTTCCACTGCTCTATATATTTACTTTTCAATACATTATACTAATTTTTTTTCCATTTTACTACAGTACTGTATTTTCAATTGCCAGTGAAAAATACAATGCCTCACCATGGTCTTGGGGGCTCCCTTGCCCTCTTTCCTTCTTTTTTGCCCACTCACTAACTCTCCCTTACTTTTCTCCTCTATCTGATGCTGCATGCGTGTTTTGCATCTGGGCAAAGAAAAAGAGGAACAAGGCCTCCTTCTGCCTGCCCAACTGCTTGCTGTCTTTCTCCTCCATCGGCATAAGACAGTAAATAGTCGGAGAATAGGAAAGCCCCTTTTACCTCCTTCTGCCCAATTGTTCACTGCCTATCTCAGTGCCTAGGTGCTCAATTTCTCGGTGCCTTTCTATGCTGCAATGCTTCTAGTTCATTTACATCTCTTTCTTTGTACAGTGGATGATTTTAAGTTGTTCCTTGATTTCACTTTAGTGGAGTAACATCAATAGTAGCAGCTCCTGCTGGAGTTTATGACTCC